ATAAAAACTTAATTATCGGGCAGGTCTGTCTATTCTGGAACCGAAAGTACTGTTCAGAGTGGGAAAACCAATGTTGTCAAGACTACAACAAGTAATAGAAAATAAAGGTGGCCAAACATAGTACCGAACTCTAACTATTTTTGGTAACATGTGGCAAAACTAAGACTGCTTTCTCGCTACTTTCATGGAAAGTTCTCAGAAGAACTACAATGCTTAGTTAGAACTCGAACCTTCACGGCAAGGACATGCCACTTACTTGGTAACAAACCACCTGCATTCCCTCCAAAATCTATTGGTGAGAAGTAAATTTCCCCCGAACAGCTTTTTCCCGAGACCCAACGTCCTGTGGAAGCGACTCTCATGAGGATGTTTTCCCCGATCACTACGATCTTAAACTGCTCAAGTCTAGAGTTAACAGTTACCTCTCTTTCCTATCCCTACAAACTGCCTCCTAACATAAACCCCTACCACGTGTGACCCACGGGCCTTGTACAGGGCGAAACTTACTACAAAAAAAAATAAAAAAAATGTTTCAGTGTTATATACTTTGGTCATAAATACTATTTGATGATATTTGTCTTGTTGCTAAGAATAACAGAATCTTTTTAATTTAGAGATGTAGATCATTATAGACTGTAAATATGAAATAATTTTTCTTAGAAATTTTAATGAAACAATATATACTTCATCATGAAACGGCTTTTCATTAAGCAATAGTAATTTCATTTAACAAAGCATGTTTACTCCTTTGGAATGAATAATCCATATTATTTCAACCAGTCTGTGTAGAGGAGAGTAAACGGAAACCTTTAAACAGACAAGAAGAAACGTCCATTCGGAAAAAATGAAAACAAAAGTTAATGGATCTGAAATAGAATTCAGAAATGGCATAAGATGTCATCCCAGCATCTTTCGAAATGCACTTTTGGATATTACACTGCAGTGACAATAAGTTACAAAGATCTAATTCTTCTGTAGTGGGTTTGGGATCTGGTTTTACGTCTGGTATCAAAGGATAGTAATATAGTTGGACCACGATAAATAACACAAAAACTTGCTTGGAAAATCAAGGGGCAATTTTTTATTGACGCATGTGTGTGTAGTAAACTCGGAGGTAAGAAGCTGGTTGACCTCATGTCAACATGACGATGAGAGAGGGTGATTAGGGTGACCTTTCCTTAGGACCGCTGCAAAAACACGTTCGAATCCAAGGATTCAAAAGTATCCAGACACTACATGATCTCCTTTCCGGAAGTGGAAGCCACAAACTTTTGGTTTCCATTTGCATTATGGGAAAATGAAATTATTTATTTGTTATTATTATTATGTTTATTATTTACTTTATTTATTATTTAATTTTCCTTCTCCCACAAATGAATATAAATCTTATTATAAAATCTTTCTATAATATCTTATTGAAAATTTTTTATAACTTATATATCTTATAAATGAAAGTTGTAATGTTTTTGAGCAAACGGATTTGACAGCAATCTAACGTGTAAGGCATTTGCCAGCCAGAAGAGATCCAGATTGTTTTCTCGATCCCGTTCTTCCTTCTTGTGTGATTATCGTTTCGCTAATGTTTGGCGCTGCGAAGAACAGGAGACGTTTCCATATTTATATGATATTTAAAGTGGGAAGATTATTGAATAGAGATAATCCGACTTAATCTGTTTCGAAGGTCGTAATGAGATGCTCCTTTTGGATTATAATTGTCAGCTCTGGCTATGGGCATTCACTTCTGGTTTAGGAATCAGAATTATTCGTCATCGAGACTGGTTGCTTAGCACAGATAGATAGACCAGTTTACACTACTATTTACTCATAGATTATCGACAGATAGTTATGACAAATAATCTTAGATTAATGTGTACATTGCTTACATTAACAAGTAGTTTCTTAAACAAAGAAAGTTGCGATAAAAACAACGATAAAATGAAAAATATGATGAAAAGTCTTTTGTTGGTCTTTCCTAGGTTGGTTGCCAATCAGTCTTTGCTATTTCACATATAGTTGGGGTGTGGGGGTGGATTCATACCTTTCCCAATGGTATTTGTGCGATTCGCTGACTTCTCGCCCCGATCTTCAACCATTACAATAATTACACACCCAAGTTGAAATTTAGGAATTCTGCCGTTCTTTCGTGAATCACGAGAAAAGAAACCATTGCATTTCATATCGGGCGATCTGGATGATCACCAAGTTTTTCTTCTGACTTTCAAGACATCACCCGGAAGCGGAAGTATGATATCTTCCTTACATGGGATTTAATATGGTTGGGCAGTCATAAAAATGTCACTCCAGGTAACAGAAATGGTTAACAAATCATTAGCTTTTATTTTCAAATACTTGCTTTTTTTTACCCTATTTGACGGCATATAATACCTACTTTTATCTCCAATAATAATGGTAACCGCTTTCCTTATAAGGAAACATTCAGCACTTATTGACCCCGATAAGATAGTGTTGTTGTCGGATGAAATTTATAAAAACAATATAAAAGCTTTTGATTAGAACTATTTTTTAGAAAAATAAATTATTCATGTTCAATAACTGTTAGCGTTCTTTCCAGTATTAATGGTGATTTCCTTCCTAACTTTTTTGTTTGAAGTAGTGTGGAATGTCAGTATTTTGATTATGTCATTATTCTGTCTTAGAGTTTCATGTTCTATCCAATTTAGTTTTTGCTGTTATTAAAGGTCCTCAAGTGAATGTGGCTCCTGTTATTTGGTAGCGTCAGTCCACGCGGATGACTCTTGTTTAGACTGCTTTAAAAAAATCCAAGTCATGGATTTTAAACAATCAATAAATGTATTAACAATTTATTTTCTTTTTTTGCATAAAAGGAAGGAACTTCATTGTTATCAATGTTGCCTAAAAGTTCAACACAGTCTTCATTTAAGCTCTCATGATACGTAAATGAGTTATGTGCTGGCGTTCACATGGTCGAAGAGAGAAAAAAAAAGAGAAACTTTAAAAACATAAGACTGCCTGTAATTCTAAGCCAGATAATCCTAAAAATATTCTTCACAGTGGGTGTTAAGTGGAGTGGCCTGGTATAAAAGATGGGGTAATCACACAACCACTGCTAAGTCGTGCCTGAGACGTAAAAAAGAAGTGATAAATTGAGTGCCTTTCATATTGAATGATGCCGTTGTACACCAGCCATAGAACGATGTCTGAAAGATTATTATCTATTTGGTTCTAAATCGTTGCCTCAATGCTGTGTCCTTGTACCAGACTAAGCCTAGAAAAAAAGCTTGTCATTGGGAAAGCCAAAAACAATTCGGTTTTAAAAGGATAAACAGAAAACACACAACAGATAAAAACTCATGTTGATATTCAAAGATTGAGAGAAAAACTCAGTTTAAAATAACTTAAACTTCAAGAAAAAATAGTGAAAGACTCTAAGGAAAAAAATAGAAGCGGGTACCCAGGAGAAGAAACTAAGTTCCGTAACTATTGCATTAAATATAATATTAGCCGTTTCCTTATAAGGAAACATTTGGCATTATTTGACCGAGCAGCCAGTGCTACTTTTGGTTGCGATATATAAAATCTTTCCAGTCCAGTAATTGTTATTTCTCTTTTCAATATTGATTCATTCTTAACTTAAGTAGTGTGGAACATCTTAATTTTATCCTTAACTTTCCTTCTATAGCTACATATGATATCCATTTTAGTTGTTGCTGCTGTTGGAAGTCCTCAATGATGTGTTTCATGTTATCTAGTACAGTTCTTTATTTATGCTTGTGTAGCGCCAGTCCACGAAGTTCGAAGAAGGATGGTCCTCTCTAAGACCTATAGATTTCATCCACTTGAAGCCACCTTTAATCATCGATCTGAGGAAGCTTAATGTATGTGGTGCCATTTATGACATCCACATGAAAGACTTGATCTGACGAGGCTAATAATTTTCTAAGCGTAGCTTTGATATGACACAAGGTTGAAAGTATGGGACGCCCAGTGAGGATCTAACTCACTATTCAGTCGTAAATGTACTAGTGAGATAAGCTTGCTAACCATTACACCGCCTCGAGGTGCTCTGATCTGACGAGACTATTAAAGAACTCCGGATTTTAGGTTAATGTTTTGGTTTTTTAGTAACTTACATTAATAAGCAAAACTATTATTTCAAATCAATTTGCTTATCTCCTATACTAAATTTATTTTAACTGATCTATACCCCGAGAAGTTGGCGAAGGACGGTGAGAAAAAAACTACAAGAAGACAGAATGTATAGTCATCAGTAAAAAGATGAGTCCGATGTTGGACGGTCTCTTCAAAGATGAAGAAGAGATTCGAGGCGACGGAGATTGGGTTCTACAAAAGGATGCTGACGATATCATGGACCGAGCGTGTGAGCAACGATGAGGTCTTAGAGAGGATGCAAACAAGGAGGAGGCTTATACTTAATATCAGGAAGAGGCAACTGAAGTTCCTGTGACATGTAATGAGGAAGGAAGACCTGGAGAATCTGATACTCACGGGTCGAATAGAGGGAAAGAGAGACAAGGGAAAGCAGCGTGTGACATACCTGGTGGGCTTAAGCAAGTGGATGACAAAACGTTGTCAAGGGGAGGTGGCAGAAGGACGAACTTGTTGAGAGCTGCAAGGGAAAAGATGGAGAGCCATGATCGCCTACGTACTGAAAGGACACGGCACATAGAAAGAAAGAAAGATACCCCAAGATATTTACTTACTAATTCCACATTCTGTATTTTTATGACGGCTACAGTGTAGGTACCACCACCCCATTCATACCAATTCCAGGCATGTATGACTTCATGGGCCGATATGGTTCCCGTATCAGATCTCAGTATCTAGAGTCAGTGTTTGGAATGCGGGTTTTAATGGATGAGAAGAAAAAAATTTTCTTTAAAAAGGATTTGCCAGTTTCTGTCATCTTTATCAGAAATCATTGTGCTGAAAACGATTAATGACAGCAAAAGTCGTAGTAAAGTAATTAAACTGTGATGAGCTAATATGTACGCACGACTATGTATACAATTTTTCTATCTATCTATCTATCTATCTATCTATCTATCTATCTATCTATCTATTTTAGTTTCCGTTCATATATCTGTATAAATCCGTTTCTTTCTTTATTTCTGTATACGAGGTTGACTATAAAGGAATGATGCTAGCACTGGAAAAGTCTTGCATATATTCATTTCAACTCTTCTTATTAATAACTGCATTGTTTCTTTCCAGGTAAACTGACATCTGAGAAGAGTTAAAAATAACTGTTTGCCACTTCTTTTGCAAATATCGTCGATATCGTTGGTGTTATCAAGCAACTGCAGAAACAGGATTTAGGCTTCAAGGATATTCATGCTTTCATCGTTGCTATTTTTGGAGATGACGCACCAGTTTTATCCAAAGTGCAAAAGTGGACAGTTGAATTTAGGAGGGATGTGTGTGTGTGTGTAGGGGGGGGGGTTAGTTTGACCTAAGGTCCGGACGTCGTGTAACTGCCATCACCGAGGTAAAAACAGCTATAAATCAAATAGACTATTGACATATGCCGTGAGAGATTTGAGAATATTCCGTAATAATGAATGGGGATACTGAGTCTTCTGACGCTTAATCAAAAGCGCATCAGATCGCTCACATCTGACATTGTTTGAGGCAGATTCAGATTTATTTGGAAATCCGACATTTTTATTACTTCAAAGGTTAATTTTAGTAGATGCCCGTGTTTGAAATAGACGCCCTATTTTTCAAAAACAGTCTGCATTATCTCTACCGGCCTGCGCACTCAAGAAACCTTAGTAAAGAAAAGGTGCTTTCCGACAGGCTTTGAACTGACATCCCCTTTTCTAGGAGAAACCATCATTTGATTCGGCTTGCTTTAGACCACTTATCCACAGAGAGCATAGCAAAGACACCGTAGACATAATACACACACATATATGTATATATACATATATTGGTGTATTTCATTTTCTTATTTATTTATCTCTGTAAATTTCTTGTCAGTCATTTTCATAATTTGGAAACCGAAATATCCTCTATTTTTAACTTTGCAATTTCCATATAAATAGATTTCTTTGGATTGTCAGAAATGTGACAACGGGAATTTCGTCGTTAAATTACTTTAGACAGTCACAGTTAAAGTGAATGAGTTTTTATTCAGTCTCTTTTTTCTTTTTCCAGCTGTTGACAGCTGCATCTATACTGTTAGATTGCATGACGCCATTTTTCCTTAATGTTCCCCCAATACAAGGCCCAAGGGCCACTCAAGGGAGAGCATTACAGTGTGGAGTTGTATTAGCATAAGAAAAGGCAAGATAACCAAGAAAGATAGCCGAAGAAGTCAAAATTTAATTAGTGAATAAAAAGACAGAGTTCAGGCGGAGGTATAGAGTTGCAGTAGGATTTAGAAGGGACTGGAAACACAATCTTAAACAGGAAACAAAGGATGAACCTCTACTCTTGTTGTAAAGACCGAGGAGGTGTATGATCCGAGTGGCAGGCAAACCCGTCTCCTTCTATTAGGGTATATTTACAGACTCATTTATAAATCTGGCCAGCTTCTACCTTTTTAACTCCCGCGTAAACCGAAACTATATCGACCTATCGATTAATTCATTGTGCTTTTTATACTAGAAGACTTTTCTTTGATATTAAGTAAATCAACAAGTGTTAAGGCGTAGTGAAATTAACATCATGGCATAAGCTATAACGATATAATTTGTTAATCAGTTTCACTCCATACAAGGCAGTAAAGCCACCAAGACTCAAGTGTTACAGAGTATGGAAGAATTAGGAACAGAAACCTTAATAATGAATGGAAAGAGAAAAGAGTAATCAGGAGAGTAGATGGCGATTGACATTGCATTTAAATTTTTCATATTAAATTTGGCATAAATGTAAACAGTGTGTTTACACCGATGTTGGTAAAATTTTCACAATATATATATAATAAATATACGTATATCATGGATATTGTTTAAATAGAGTGGTACACATTGTTTGCAGCTTATCGTTCATTCGACATTTTTCAAGCCACAGCTTTACAGAAATGCATCAATGAAACCTGATCTACAAACTGATTTCTTACAAAGAATACATATTCTCTTCATACGAACTTATGCTTAAAATCTTAACGGCATTAAATAAACCATTGAGGTTGATATACCGTAAAAGAAAATACGTTAAACCAAACCGGTCACTCTACAAAAAACTTGATCTACAAACTGATTTCTTACAAAGAATACATATTCTCTTCCGATGCTAAAAATCTTGTCGGCATTAAATAACCCATTGAGGTTGTGTTGCCGTAAAATAAAATAAACATAAATCTGAACTTGTTGGCATGAAACCAAACACGCATAATATAAACTTCCTCCGGTATACTACACATTTTATTTCTTTATTGCATTTTCATCTTCCTTTGTTGAAACAGTGACACTTATTCAGTTATTATGTTAATGTTTATTCTAATGTACTTCTTGACATGCAAATGTACGAGGAAGTGTCGAAATATTCCATTCCCCTAAAGTCTTGACAAAGGTATAAAGAACGGAAGTTTGGAGAGGATGGGCTTCTTGGTTGGACCGAGAGAGATTTTAGCATCGCCTAATATATATATATATATATATATATATATATATATATATATATATATATATATATATATAAACCTTAGGTTTATTGGCTTGTAAATGAACGAACCAATACCTAAGGAAACAAAAGGAATAAAAAAAGTAAGAACTAAGAACATGTAATTGAGGCGAAAACAATCGACCCGAATCCAAGCTCAGAGTCCAAAGAAAAAAACCTCCGAGACGAGTAAAATAAAAATAACTAAGCAAAGTGCTCAGTATGCTAAATAGAGCAAAACTATGAACCTAAAATGTCAGGCAAATGTACCTAGGTTTCACCTCCGTGGATCGTTAGGGTACGCTAGCCCTGACGATCCTCAAAGGTGAAACCTAGGCTGGCACTTTAGATTCATTGTTATATATATATATATATATATATATATATATATATATATATATCCAAGTATAGGATTGGAGTATACGGAATAAATTCCAATAACCAACAAATACTATCCTTAAAAGAGTACTCAGTACAGAGTAGAGCAAACATAATCATTTATTCGAAAATTATAACATAATTATGTGTTATGGTCCGGTTCCTTGTACCACGGTGATAGTCCAAGGTAGACCCAATAAAGAAGAACTCGAACACAGGTATGGAATAACACAGGTGTTAGTACGAACAATCAGGTTTAGTAGTAATTGTCTTAACACGACTCTGTTTGGTCTGTCTCTGACTACACTGACGGACTTCACTCCAGAAGTCAGACTGAACTCTCTGCTTCCTCTTGAGGCGCAGTATTTATTACGTGTGGAATAGTCCATTATATTATTACGGGTAAGGTCCCATAACAGTATGTTATAAAATCACGAGAAAAATAGGCATTAGTAATTTGTGCCAATTACTAGAATAAATAGTTTGTGAATCAAACTAGCAATGGGCGGAATAGTTAATGATGACCAGCCTTTTCTCCATTACCTCTCCCCACGGCCTTGTGCAAAAAACAATATAATGTTTTTTAATAAACAAAGAGCGTCTGTTATGTCCTTTCAGTCTTTCCTCGTTATCAAAACGGAATAGTCCATTATTCATGAGATATTGGCTCAGCGTAACGTACGTGCTAAATACAAAACAAAGGAAGAAGCAGAATTGTATTATTATTATTTTTATTTTTATTTTCTTTGATTTCTGGCGTTTACACATTTCTTTCGGGGTCCCGCCCAGGGACCTAAGGTTAGAAATGGCATCATGACACTCTCCACTGACAAAAAAAATAAAAAAATTACATAGATAAAGCCCTTCGTAAAGTGTGAGCTGTACTCCAAGGAATCCCTTCAATTAGTCTACTGCAATCTTTTCCAACCAGTCCTAGGGCTCCAACTACAACAGGGATTGTTGATGTTCCCATATGCCACATTTTCGAGATTTCTATTTCAAGGTCCTTGTATTTTGACAGCTTTTTGAATATCTTCAAAGATACATTACAGTCAGTAGGGACTGCCATATCAATAAGGAGGCACTTTTTTTGTTTGTGGTCTTTAATAACAATATCTGGGCGGTTGGTTTTGATTGTTCTGTTAGTGTGTATTGTGTAGTCCCATAGAATTGTAACAGGTCCTATCTCCGTAACCGGGTCTGGTTGGTGTTCATACCAGTTACTTTCAGTTTCCTTCTCGTAGAAGTTGCAGATTTTCCAGTGCAGATATTGACCCACTCTGTCATGCCGGCTTTTACATTCAGTGGGCGCCAATATCGTGCAACCTGATACAAGATGATCAATCGTTTCTGGATATTTATCACAAAATCTGCATTTTGGGCTGACACAATATTTTAGTATATGTGCTTGATAATTCCTAGTTAGCAAGCATTGGTCCTGTGCAGCAAGGATAAAACCTTCAGTTTCAGCTTTCAACCCTGCACTACGTAGCCACTGATGGGTACGGGTTTTGTCTACGTTAGCTTGTTTGGTACGGGCAGAGTATTGGCCATGAAGCGGTTTATCTTGCCATCGCTTCTGTAACTGGTCGGTTTCATTCGTCTTAGCTGTCTTTTTTAGGTATTTTGCAGTTTCAGTCGGTGTATTGTACTGTAGTTCTATCTCTACGCCCATTTGAAACTCCATTTTGAATTTGTTGGCTTCTTTTATTACGGAGTAAAGACGCTTACTACTTTCATGTTCCTTGATGCATATCATCATCCAGTCTTCTGTAGTTTCCAAGTATCTTTGGAGGCCAATTGTTTTAGTTTTGTAGGACAGTTCTAGTTGAACTAATCCTCTGCCTCTTTCGGATCTGGGCACATACAGACGATCAACATCAGCTTTGGGATGATGCATGCGATAGCAAGTAAGAAGCTTTCTCGTTTTGGCGTCCATTCGCTTAATTTCAGCTATGGTCCAGTTAAGGACATTAAAGCTGTATTGCACCACAGGGACAGCCAATATGTTTATGGCTGATATTCTGTTTGTTATTATTATTATTATTATTTAGAGTTTTGCCAAGCTTTAATAAATGAAATAATAGTCACAAATTCGAATACTAAGAATATATTTATATAATTATTTGAAAATAATTAATCCTACTAATATCACATATTACTGTTTTTCCATTCAAGCAATATCGGTCATCTGTCGAATTCCTCAGATTCTGAAAGAAAACACAAAGGAAATTTGTTTTCGAAAAAAAAAGCAGCTACCATATTTCATTCAGTATCCAACGAAATACAAACCGGAAAAAAACACACATTTAATCTCCAATAAATTGACGACACAACATTTGTTTCTATGCTGTATTTTGTTGAAAAATCTAATTATGAGTCAATTGGTTTTAATTTAATCTAATTTTGATCTGTTGTCAATATATAACAATTCTTTCAACAAGACAATTAATCTTTTGAAACTGCTTTGACTTGAATCAATCCAAATTTAATTGATTTCCCCGATCATTTCTAAAAACAATGAATTTATATTTGCTTACACGTTTTATCCTTTGCTAATCGTCAGTAAGAGTGTCGTAAGCACGTGTACTAGGCACATTTCAAAACATTTTTCAATTTGCATAAATATTGGCTAATCAAAAAAAGAACGATCGATTCTCTTATTAAATAAAAAGAACAATTTTTGTATTCTACATTAACTTTATCATTTTATCATCTTTGAGCCAAATTCCAAATCCCATTCGCCCAACTGTCTTTTGTCTTTCTCTGCAGACCTTTCTGACTTTTACAGTCTTTTAGGAAATTGAAATAGTTTTATGAAGACAATTTCACAAAGACAAGAATAAATGATGTTCAGAAAGTGCAATGCCTGGGGATTTTCACAGCTATTTTTCGTCTGGCCATTAAAGGAACATAGTATCTAACGTTATTCTGATGGAATATAATATTCTTTCTCTTAATATCGATTTCCGCCTTCGTTTGGTTTTCCTGTACTTGTTCAAATCAGTCACTTAGATATTTGAGAGAAACACATAGTAGAAGATTTTCTGACATTCTTAATCTATTTGAATGAAGAATAAGTTTGGTGCCATTAACAATGTTTATCCCACTTCCTTCAATAAATTCTTGCGCCGTACTTTAAAGAATCTACTATTTAATATGAAAACTCTGATCCTTTCTTTCTGAGATTACGAAATAAATAGCACCCCAGAATACAGTCGTTTTTTATCGTCTAATTTATGTGAATTCCTGACAATTTATCCATTAGAGTCCGCCATAATTTCGATATTAATTATAAATCCAAATATAAAAATAATGCATCCTATGTGCCGTGTCCTTTAAGGACGTTGTTGATCATGGCTCTTCACAATGTCCTCTTTGTAGCACTCAATAAATTTTGTCTCTTTGTTCTCTCTCCTAAATCCTGTTCTGCCATCGATTTCTACAATCTCGCTATGTAGGTTATGCTTTCTTTTCCTCTAACCCTCCCTGCCTTCAATCTATGTAGGTTATGCTTTCTTTTCCTCTATCCCCCCTCTTGCCTTCAATATATGGAGGTTATGACTTCCTGTCCTCTATCCTCAACGCTTGCCTTCAATCTATGTAGGTTATGCCTTCTTTTCCTCTATCCCAACCTCATGCCTTCAATCGATGTAGGTTATGCTTTTTTTCCTCTATTCACACCATCTTGCCTTCAGTATAAGTAGGTCATGACTTCCTGTCCTCTATCCCCACCTCTTGCCTTCAATCTATGTATGTTATGCTTTCTTTTCCTGTATCCTTACCTTTTGCCTTCAATCTATGTAGGTTATATCTTCTTTTCCTCTATTCACCCCCTCTTGCCTTCAATCTATGTATGTTATGCTTTCTTTTCCTCTATCCCCCACTCTTGCCTTCAATCTATGTAGGTTATGCTTTCTTTTCCTCTATTCACCCACTCTTGCCTTCAATCTATATATGTTATGCCTTCTTTTCCTCTATCCCCACGTTTTGCCTTCAATCTATGTATGTTATGCTTTCTTTTCCTGTATACCCACCTCTTGCTTTAATCTATGTATGTTATGCCTTCTTTTCCGCTATCCCCACATTTTGCCTTCAATCTATGTATGTTATGCCTTCTTTTCATCTATCCCCACCATTTGCCTTCAATCTCTGTATGTTATGCCTTCTTTTCCTCTATCCCCACCTTTTGCCTTCAATCTATGTATGTTATGCTTTCTTTTCCTCTGGTCCTCATCTTTTTCGCTTCATATTTGTCATGTTTGTTGTACGCTCCGGCCTTCTTCTAGGTGGTTGGAATTGTCTTTCTGAACCCTTTATTTCGATCAATCTATGGGTAGACTGTTCTTTTCCACGTGCCATGTTTGATGGATGTCAGTTATCAGTTATCTCCTCTTTAATTTTCCCTCTGAAAGTTCTCCACTACCTTAACCAGGAATTGAACTCACCTTCTTTGGGTCTGTCACTGGATCTAACCAACCCTTTATCCACTATCCCATGTGTTGCCTTCAGGACATCTATGTATGAACTTCTTTATTATAAACCCTGAGTTTTTCAGCATTTTTACCTTCTGCTCATATTGCATGTTTTGCTGTTATCATTGCCTGTCTTTACCAGAGTTCATATTGCAATCTTTTGTTATCATTGCTTTTCTCTGGCACCCCACCTTTTGGTTCCCATCTTGTATTTATTTCCTTGCTTTTCGGCTATCCCCCACCTTTTTGTGGCCAATCTATGTGCTGATTCCTTAAGTTTACCTTTTCCAATGGTTTTCCTCTATGATCCATGATCCCCTCTATTTGATCTCCTTCTCTCTCATATGTGGTCATGCCTGATTTTTTCTCTATCCCCGCATTACAGCTTTCTGGTGTTCTTGAATCCTATACCTTGAGGGGGCTATGCCTGTCTCTCCTTTATATTCCTTTCCCCAGCTGCATGGGATCAATCTAGTCTTTATGCTTTCTTTCCTCTATACCCCCTCTTGCCTTCAAGATATATGTATGTTATGTCTGTCTTTTTGAAGGTTCCCCCTTTTGTTCAATCTATGTATGTTTTGTATTTTCTCTGATATCCCCTTCACCTAAAGGCCTTCACTGTTTTCTTATGCCTTCTTGTCCTCTCCTCCTCCTCCTTTTGCCTTCCGCCCCCAGTTTTTATGCCTTCTTTTCATCTACCCCCCACCTTTTGTTCAATCTATGTATGGTATGCTACTTATACTGACCAATTCCTTATCTAACGTCTTTTCTGGATCGCCACTTATGACTTTTTTCGATGTTGTAAGCATCGGACGATCCCTTTCTTTACGCTGTATGGATGGTGGAGTTGAAATCTATGTACTGTCCGGTGAATGTTGGTTTACGGTATACGGATTCCCCATTCTCTGTTCGAGATATTAATCTATCCAGGAATGGGAGTGAGTTGTTTCTTCTATCTCCATTTTTGCCTTCATCTAAGGTCTTATTGAGTTCTTTTCCTCTAGAAGAACCTTTTTACTTCTTCTATGATGTTATGCCAGAGTTTCATCTATCCCCTACTTTTGCCTTCAATCTATGTATGTTATGCCTTCTTTTCTCTATCCCATTTTGCCTTCAAAGTATTCCATGTATATATTTTCTTTTTTGCCTTTTCTCTCTATACCCTCATCCTGTTTTTGAGATCCCATCTCCGTAGTGTGTTGTTTCTTTTCTGAAAGTCCCCCCCTCCATCAGATTATTTATTGGAATACTGGTCTATGTATGTTATGACTACTTTTTTCTCCTCTATCCCCACCTTTTGTGAACAGACTCTTATGCCTTCTTTTCCAATCTCACCATCTGGTTGGATCTATGTATGTTATGCATCTTTTCCTCTTTCCCCCCAGGATTTTGCCTTCAATCTATGTATGTTAGGAGACTTTTCCTCTCATGGGTCTTTATGTCTACAATCTACTGTATTTGGCACACAGTATGCCTTTTTTTCCCACCTTTTGCCTTCAATCTATGTATGTTATGAATTCTTTTCCATCCCAATCCTGCTGTAACTTTGCCTTCAACCTCTTGGGTTCTAAGATCCTTGTTCTTTTCCTCTATCCCCCACAGTTTGCCTTCCGTCTATGTATGTAGGATCCTTTTTTCCTCTATCCTGCACCTTTTGCCTTCTAATCTATGTAGTTTATGCAACCTTTTCCTCCATCACCCCTTCTTGCCTTTGTCAATCTATGTGTATGTTATGCCTCTATTCGCATTCTTTGCCTTCAATCTATCCCTGGGCATGTTCAACATCCATTTTTTTGCCTTCAATCTATGTATGTTATGCCTTCTTTTCCTCTATCCCCAATCTTGCCTTCAATCTATGTATGTTATGCCTTCTTTTCTCTATCCCCAGACCTTTTGCCTTTCAATCTATTACCAATAGACCAGAGAAGGATCCAAAATGCCTTTTGAAGTTCAAGGCTCTTCTTAAATAGATTCAATCTCTGAAGGTTATGCCTTCTTTCCATCTATGTTCCCCTTCTATGTATGTTAACCTTCAGCCTCTATCCCCCCTTTTGCCTTCAATCTAGTTAGCCTTGAATTCCTCTCAACTTTTGCCCCCATCATGGCGGGTGCCATTTCTTTCATTTTGCCAGAATCTATGTATGTTATGCCTTTTTCCATCCCTAGGCTCAGGCGGATTGCCTTCAATCTATGTAGGTTATGCCTAACAAAACTGGATCCCCACCTTTTGATTGAATCTATGTAGAGGAATGAGAACCTCTATCCCCACTACCGGCCTTCAAATGTATGTGCGACTTCTTTTGGACAAACCGGACTATGCCTTCAAAACTGTTAAGACCTTTTAGCAATGGTAGCTACAGCATAGTGAAGAAAGATCCTATCTATGAAAATCGGAACGCAAAACTGTCCAGATCCTAATCTATGAATAAGGATCACTTCTTTTCCCAAGACTTTTCAGTTATCGCATGTTACAGCAAGTTTTCCTCTATATACGGTCTTCCTAAGATTCACAAAGACGGTATTCCACCTTTTCTGATTGTTGTATGTTGCCAAAAGTCTATGTTTGCCTTCTTCGCTTTCCTTTCCTCTATCCCCCATTTTGCCATTGATCGGAAAGTTATTTCATTGTCCTCTATCCCCCTATTCGTGGAAATAATCAAAGATGCCTTCTTTCCTCTATCCAACCAGATTTGAGCAATGGATGGTGAGTCTGTTCACCAAGGTATGGCACTTCAGTAGTCAGAGATAGATTAACCTCTGACTCCCCCCTTTGAGGAGCAATCCAGTATTCCAATAGATAATCTGATGGAGATGTTGACTTTCTTTTCCTCTATCAACACACTTTGAATGGGATCTGTATATCGACAGGATTCTTTTAGCAATGGGCTCCCCCATTTTCACCAATCAATGGCGAATATATACCTGGAATACTTTTTGAAGAAATCTTAGAGTCTATATCGCTAAAGCCAACTATATGGTTACGGTTCTTTTCCACTTTCATACCATCAGGAAGAAAGTCCAGGCCTTCAATCTCAATAAGACCTTCGATACAGTTCACAATGGAGAAAGAGTAACAACTGCTCCCATTCCTCTAATATCTCCAACAGAGAATGGGTTCAAGACATCCGTATACCGTAAACCAACATTCACCGGACAGTATGTCAATTTCTTTTCCCACCATCCATACAGCCTAAAAGAATCTATCGTCCGTTATGCTTTTTTTCGAGCAAAAGTCATAAGTGGCGATCCAGAGACGTTTTCCTAAGGTATTGGTCAATCTAAGTATGTACCCTTCTTTTCCTCAACAACTACCCCTACATCTATGCAGCCCCCAAAAACTGGGATAGGCGGGTTTAGAGGAGGAGGAGGAGGAGGACAACAACACCAGAAAACAGTCTGCCTTCCTTATGTGAAGGGGTTATCAGAGAAAATACAAAAATCTTTTCCATCTAACATCAGACAACCTTTTGCCTTCAACACTCTATATATCTCTCACGAGTTTTCCTCCCCCATTTTGAGGAATCTATGATGTTAAGACTTCTTTCCGCTATCCCCACAGCTGCCTTCAATCTAGGAATATAAAGGAGAGACAGGCCCACCCCCAAGGTATTTGCCTTCAAGAACACCTATCCGAAAGCTGTAACGCGATCTATGTATAGAAAAATTCAGGCCTTTTTTGCCTTCATATGGAGTTATGCCTTTCACCGCCCCCTGTGGGATCATGTTGAGATCTATGACAGGGAACACCATTTCCTCTATTCCCAAACTTGCCTTCAGCACATATGCTATGCCACTTTCTTCTCCCCACCTTTCTTAAATACAATATCCCCCCAGAGAAAAAGCAATGATAATCTAGTTGTATGTATGAACTCTTTTCCTCTATCCCCACCTTTTGCCTTCAATCTATGTGAGTTATGCTTTCTTTGATGCTATCCCATTTTGCCTTCAAATATGTATGTTATGCCTTCTTTCCTCTATCACCCCTTCAATGGATGCCTGGTTAATCCAGTGACTGTTATGCCTGAGTCTTTTGGTCTATCCCCACCTTTTGCCTTCAATCTAAACATGTTATGCTTTCTTTTCCTCTATCCCCCCCTTTTCGCCTTCAATCTATGTATGTTAGTTCTTTTTTCCAACCACCTGTTCCGGATATGTTATGCCTTCTTTTCCTCTATCCCCAATTTGCCTTCAAAGATGATGTATGTTTCCTCTATTAACCCATCATCTCAGAAATATAGACAAATACTTTTCCTCTATCCCCACCTTTTGCCTTCAATCTATGTATGTTATGCCTTCTTTCCCTCTATCCCCACCTTTTGCCTTCAATCTATGTAGGTTATGCTTTCTTTTCCTCTATACCCCCCTCTTGCCTTCAATCTATGTATGTTATGCCTTCTTTTCCTCTATCCCCACCTTTTGCCTTCAATCTATGTATGTTATGCCTTCTTTTTCCTCTATCCCCACTTTTTGCCTTCAATCTATGTATGTTATGCCTTCTTTTCCTCTATACCCACCTTTTGCCTTCAATCTATGTATGTTATGCCTTCTTTTCCTCTATCTCCACCTTTTGCCTTCAATCTATGTATGTTATGCCTTCTTTTCCTCTATCCCCACCTTTTGCCTTCAATCTATGTATGTTATGCCTTCTTTTCCTCTATCCCCACCTTTTGCCTTCAATCTATGTATGTTATGCCTTCTTTTCCTCTATCCCCACCTTTTGCCTTCAATCTATGTATGTTATGCCTTCTTTTCCTCTATACCCACCTTTTGCCTTCAATCTCTGTATGTTATGTTTTCTTTTCCTCTATCCCCACATTTTGCCTTCAATCTATGTATGTTATGCCTTCTTTTCTTCTATCCCCACCTTTTGCATTCAATCTATGGATGTTATGCCTTCTTTTCCTCTATCCCCACCATTTGCCTTCAATCTATGTATGTTATGCCTTCTTTTCTTCTATCCCCACCTTTTGCCTTCAATCTATGTATGTTAGGCCTTCTTTTCCTCTATCCGCACCTTTTGCCTTCAATCTATGTATGTTATGTCTTCTTTTCCTCTATCCCCACCTTTTGCGTTCAATCTATGTATGTTATGCCTTCTTTTCTTCTATACCCACCTTTTGCCTTCAATCTATGTAGGTTATGCCTTCTTTTCATCTACCCCCACATTTTGCCTTCAATCTATGTATGTTATGCCTTCTTTTCCTCTATCCCCACCTTTTGCCTTCAATCTATGTATGTTATGCCTTCTTTTCATCTACCCCCACATTTTGCCTTCAATCTATGTATGTTATGCCTACTTTTCCTCTATCCCCACCTTTTGCCTTCAATCTATGTATGTTATGCCTTCTTTTCCTCTATCCCCACCTTTTGCCTTCAATCTATGTATGTTATGCCTTCTTTTCCTCTATCCCCACCTTTTGCCTTCAATCTATGTATGTTATGCCTTCTTTTCCTCTATCCCCACCTTTTGCCTTCAATCTATGTATGTTATGCCTTCTTTCCTCTATCCCCACCTTTTTCTTCAATCTATGTATGTTATGCCTTCTTTTCCTCTATCCCCCCCTTTTGCCTTCAATCTATGTATGTTATGCCTTCTTTTCCTCTATCCCCCCACCTTTTGCCTTCAATCTATGTAGGTTATGCTTTTCTTTTCTCTATCCCCCCACCTTTTGCCTTCAATCTATGTATGTTATGCTTTCTTTTCCTCTATACCCGCCTCTCGCCTTTAATCTATGTAGGTTATGCTGTCTTTTCCTCTATCCCCACCTTTTGCCTTCAATCTATGTATGTTATGCCTTCTTTTCCTCTATCTCCACCTTTTGCCTTCAATCTATGTATGTTATGCCTTCTTTTCCTCTATCCCCACCTTTTGCATTCAATCTATGTATGTTATGCCTTCTTTTCCTCTATCCCCACCTTTTGCCTTCAATCTATGTATGTTATGCCTTCTTTTCCTCTATACCCCCCTCTTGCCTTCAATCTATGTATGTTATGCCTTCTTTTCCTCTATCCCCACCTTTTGCCTTCAATCTATATACGTTATGCTTTCTTTTCCTCTGGTCCTCATCTTTGTCGCCATATTTGTCACAACGTTTCGGCCGTTGTACGCTCCGGCCTTCTTCAGGTGGTTGGAATTTCAGACTGAACCCTTTATTTCAATCGCTGGGGTAGACTGTTCCTAATTCCACGTGCCATGTTTGATGGATGTCAGTTATCAGTTATCTCCTGCTAATTTTCCCTCTGAAAGTTCTCCACTACCTTAACCAGGAATTGAACTCACCTTCTTTTGGGTCTGTCACTGGATCTAACCAACGCCTTTATCCACTGTGCCATGTGTCCTTGAGGACATCTGGGTATGAACCTTCTGAGTATTATAAACCTAATTTTTTTCAATCTATCATTTTTTCTTTTCCAGTGCTCATATTGCAATTTTTGTATGTTATCATTGCATGTCTTTACCAGAGTTCATATTGCAACTTTTGTTATCATTGCTTTTCTCTGGCACTCCTTATTACTGGTTCCCCCCTTGTATTTATTTCTATGCTTGGTCGGCTCAGGAGATTTTTGTGGCCTAGCATATGTTATGATTCCTTAAGTTTACGAATTTTCCAATGGTGTTCCCTGTCTATTTCTCTTCATGATCCCACAGGGGCCTTGATCTCCCTTCTCTCTCCATATGTGGTCAGCCACGCCTTCTTTTTCTACTTCCCCTCGCGTTACAGCTTTCTGGTGTTCTTGAAGCCTTACCTTGAGGGGCGGCCTGTCTCTCCTTTATATTCCTTTCCGCTATCTGCATGGGATTCAATCTATGTATACACAGTCTTTAGTCATGTTTCCCCTCTATTTGGGTCTCACTCGTGAGAGATACCTGCATCCGTCACCTTTTGCTTTTGAAGTATGTTGTCCTGATTTTATATGGACCCAGATCTTTTGTATTTTCTCTGATAACCCCTTCACATAAGGCAGGCAGACTGTTTTCTGAGTGTTGTTGTCCTCCTCCTCCTCCTCCTCTTGTGCCCGCCTATCCCAGTTTTTGGGGGCTGCCCATTTTGCCCAATCTAGTTGTTGCGTTGTAGGGTTTACTTATCCTGACCAATTCCTTCATCTAACGTCTCTGGATCGCCACTTATGACTTTTGCTCGATGTTGTAATCTGTGGACGATCCCTTCTTTACGCTGTATGGATGGTGGGAGTTGAAATTGAGGTACTGTCCGGTGAATTTTGGTTTACGGTATACGGATGTCTTGAACCCATTCTCTGTTCGAGATATTAGTACATCCAGGAATGGGAGTGAGTTGTTACTCTTTTCTCCATTGTGAACTGTATCGAAGGTCTTATTGAGTTCACATGGTCCAGAAGAACCTGGACTTTGCCTTCAATCTATGAGTATGAAAGTTTCATCTACGTACTATCATATTTGGCCTTTTATCCCCAGACTTTTTGCCTTCAATCTATGTATGTTATTCCTTCTTTATATTCCCCATTTTGCCTTCAATCTATGTATGTTAGCCTTCTTTTTCCTCATCCTGTCCTTTTTGCCTTCCATTCCGAAGTTATGTTGTTTTCCTTATCAGAAAGTCAACTTCCTTCATCTATTTATCTATTTGGAATACTGGTCCCCCCTTCTAGGAAGAGTCAGAGGTTAATCTATCTCTGACTACTGAGAGTTGCCTTCCGTGGGTCTCTGTGAACAGACTCACCTTTTTTCCAAGCTCACCATCTGGTTGGATAGAATGGGAGCATCTTTTCCTATTTCCACGACCTGGGCGGAGTTTCAATCATATGAAGGAGACTTTTTTCCAATCCCCACCTTTTATCTACTAGGAAGCGACTCTTTTTCTGGCACAGACCTTTTGCCTTCAATCGGCCTGAGTGGAATACCGTCTTTTCAAATCTTAGGGAGACCGTATATGAGGTAACTTGCTTTTCTGCGATAACTGCCTATACGTCTTGGGTGCCTTCTTGATTAGGATCTGTGACAGTTTGCGTTCCGTTTTCATAGTAGGATCCCCCTTCACTATTGCTGTTCAACCATTGCTAATGAGGTCTTCCAGTTTTCTTTATAGTCCGGTTTGTCCATCACTACAGTCGCATTGCCTTTTTTCAGCCGGTCTATGATGATGTTCTCATTCCTCTGTAGTGATTCAATCGCCAGTCTCCAGTTTTGTTATGTTAATCCTGGGTTATGCCTTCTTTTCTCTCCAAGGCCTGTCTCATTTTGCATCTCATTTCATCCCCCTGAGCCTTCAATCTATGTATGTTATGCCTTCCTCCTCTACTCCCCACCTGATGTCCTTCACCCCCCTGATGGTTGTGGCGATGTTATGCCTTCTTTTTCAATACCCACTCCTTTTGAGGCACTCAGCTGATATTGGCTGATGTTGACTACTTCTTTCACTGGTGGGTGATGGACCTTGTGCGTCACCTTCTGATCTTCAATCTATTTAATTTTTGCCTTGGCGAGCTTTTGCCTTCTTCTATTCATGTCTGAAGGATTTATCCAGGTCATTTTTTCCTTCTCTGGTCTTCTTTTAATTCTTCAATCTATCTATGTTATGTACTCTGTTTCATCCAACGGTTTTTGCCTCTATGTATGTTAGAGGTTCTTTTTCCTCATGCTCAGGCGGATGAATCTATGTATGTTATGCCTTCTTTTCCTCTATCCCCAACTTTTGCATTTCAATCTATGTCACTACATGCCTTCTTTTCCTCATATCCCCACCTTTTCCTTCTGACAAATGTTATGCGACTGTTCCTCTATCCCCCTATTCAATCTCTGTATGTTATGCCTTTTCCTCATCCCCCCCCATTTGAAGAAAATCTATGTGATGTATGCCTTCTTTTTCCTCTATCCCCATAATTTTTGCCTTCAATCTATGTACGTTATGCCTTCTCTTTCCCCACTATCCTTGTTTTGCCAAAGCTCTGTGCCTTCTTCCTTGTAGATCTATTGACCCATTGATCGGAAAAGTCTCCTTCCCTATGTCCCCACTCTCCCCACTTCGTTGGAAATATGTATGTTAGATGCTCTTTTCATCTATCCCCAGATGGTTCTTGGACGTTATGCCTTCTTTTCACCCCCACCTTTTTTACCTTCAATCTCTCATGTTATAGATTAACCTTTCCTCTATCCCCCACAGTTTGCCTTCAATCTATGTATGTTATGCCTTTTACACAAACCACCTTTGGGATTCACATCTTCTTTCCCCCCCATTATCACCAGCAATGGCGAATATATACATGGAATTCTTTGAAGAAATGGCATTCAATCTATATCGTATGTTATGCCTTCTTTTTACTCTATCCCCAACCTTTTGCCTTCCACATGTAGAAGTCCAGGTTCTTTCTATGTAACTCAATTAGACCTTCTTTCTCCTTTTTGCCTTCATTCCTGGATGTATGTTATGCAGTTTTCTCTATCCCCCCTTTTGCCAACAATCTATGTACAGTATGCCTCGAATTTTTTCCACCATCCCCACCTTTTGCCTTCAATCTATGTATGTTATGCCTTCTTTTCCCCTATCCCCACCTTTTGCCTTCAATCTATGTATGTTATGCCTTCTTTTCCCTCTATCCCCCAAAAACTTTGCCTTCTATCTAGGAGTTATGCTTTCTTTTCCTCTATCCCCACCTTTTGCCTTCAATCTATGTATCTTATGTCCTTCTTTTCATCTATCCCCCATTTTGCCTCCACAATCTATGTATGTTATGACCTTCTTTTTCCTCTATCCCCCTTTGCCTTCAATCTATGTATGTTATGCCTTCTTTTCCTCTATCCCCACCAGAAAGTGTTCAATCTGTATTTGCCTTCTTTCCACATCTGGATCACCTTTTGCCTCATCATGACATGTTATGCCTTCTTTTTCCTCTATCCCCCCACAAAATCCCTTTGCCTTCAATCTATGTATGTTATGCCTTCTTTCCCTATCCCCCACCTTTGATAACAAAATCTATATAACTCTTATGCCTTCTTTTCCTCTAAAATTGCAATATTGCCTTTAATCTATGTGCTGAAATTATGCCTTCTTTTCCTCTATCCCCACCTTTTGCCTTCAATCTATGTATGTTATGCCTTCTTTTCCTCTATCCCCACCTTTTGCCTTCAATCTATGTATGTTATGCCTTCTTTTCCTCTAACTTTTCCATCAAACTGGCACGTGGAATTAAACAGTCTATTTCCCTATCCTCAAATTTCAGTCTTCTATCTATCTTTTCCTCAATCCCATTGTTTACAAAGATGGACAATAGTTTTCTTTTCCCCATCTCCAAATTTGCCTTCAATCTATGTTATGCCTTCTTTTCCTCTATCCCCACCTTTTTGCCTTCAATCTATGTAGTAGTTATGCTTTCTTTTCCTCTATCCCCACCTTTATGCTTTTCTCTAATCTATGTATGTTATGCCTTCTTTTTCCTCTATCCCCACCTTTTTGCCTTCAATCTATGTATGTTATGCCTTTTTTTCCTCTAATCTTCAATGTATGTTATGCCTTCTTTTCATCTATCCCCCCCTTTTTGCCTTCTATGGAATCTATGTATGTTATGCCTTCTTTCCTCTATCCCCCACCTTTTGCCTTCAATCTATGTATGTTATGCCTTCTTTTCCCTATCCCTTTTTGCCTTCAATCTATGTATGTTATGCCTTCTTTTCCTCTATCCCCCACCTTTTGCCTTCAATCTATGTATGTTATGCCTTCTTTTCCTCTATCCCCCACCTTTTGCCTTCAATCTATGTTATGCCTTCTTTTCCTCTATCCCCACCTTTTTGCTTCAATCTATGTATGTTATGCCTTCTTTTCCTCTATCCCCCCCCTTTTGCCTTCAATCTATGTATGTTATGCTTTCTTTCCTCTATCCCCCCCTTTTGCCTTCAATCTATGTATGTTATGCCTTCTTTTCCTCTATCCCCACCTTTTTGCCTTCAATCTATGTATGTTATGCCTTCTTTTCCTCTATCCCCACCTTTTACCTTCAATCTATGTATGTTATGCTTTCTTTTCCTCTATCCCCACCTTTTTGCCTTCAATCTATGTATGTTATGCCTTTTCCCTCTATCCCCACCTTTGCCTTCAATCTATGTATGTTATGCCTTCTTTTCCCTCTATCCCCACCTTTTGCCTTCAATCTATGTATGTTATGCCTTCTTTTCCTCTATCCCCCTCACCTTTTTGCCTTCAATCTATGTATGTATGTTATTTTCCTCTCCACCTTTTGCCTTCAATCTATGTAGGTTATGCCCTTTTCCTCCTTTTGCCTTCAATCTATGTATGTTATGCCTTCTTTTCCTCTATCCCCACCTTTTGCCTTCAATCTATGTATGTTATGCTTTCTTTTCCTCTATCCCCCCCACCTTTTGCCTTCAATCTATGTATGTTATGCCTTCTTTTCCTCTATCCCCCACCTTTTGCCTTCAATCTATGTATGTTATGCCTTCTTTTCCTCTATCCCCCCCCTTTTGCCTTCAATCTATGTATGTTATGCCTTTTGCTTTTCCTCTATCCCCACCTTTTTCAATCTATGTATGTTAGCCTTTTCCTCTTCCCCCCTTCAATCTACTTCTTTTCCTTTTTTTGCCTTCAATCTATGTATGTTATGCTTTCTTTTCCTCTATCCCCACCTTTTGCCTTCAATCTATGTATGTTATGCCTTCTTTTCCTCTATCCCCACCTTTTGCCTTCAATCTATGTATGTTATGCCTTCTTTTCCTCTATCCCCACCTTTTTGCCTTCAATCTATGTATGTTATGCTTTCTTTTCCTCTATCCCCTATGTATGTTATGCCTTTTTTCCTTCAATCTATGTATGTTATGCCTTCTTTTCCTCTATCCCCACCTTTTGCCTTCAATCTATGTATGTTATGCCTTCTTTTCCTCTATCCCCACCTTTTGCCTTCAATCTATGTGTTATGCCTTCTTTTCCTCTATCCCCCACCTTTTGCCTTCAATCTATGTATATTTATGCCTTCTTTTCCTCTATCCCCCCTTTTTGCCTTCAATCTATGTATGTTATGCCTTCTTTTTCCTCTATCCCCACCTTTTGCCTTCAATCTATGTATGTTATGCCTTCTTTTCCTTCTATCCCCCACCTTTTGCCTTCAATCATGTATGTTATGCTTTCCTCTTTTTTGCCTTCAATCTATGTATGTTATGCCCCCCCCCACCTTTTGCCTTCAATCTATGTATGTTATGCCTTCTTTTCCTCTATCCCCACCTTTTGCCTTCAATCTATGTATGTTATGCCTTCTTTTCCTCTATCCCCACCTTTTTTGCCTTCAATCTATGTATGTTATGCCTTCTTTTCCTCTATCCCCACCTTTTGCCTTTAATCTATGTATGTTATGCCTTCTTTTCCTCTATCCCCCCCTTTTTGCCTTCAATCTATGTATGTTATGCCTTCTTTTCCTCTATCCCCTTTTGCCTTCAATCTAATGTATGTTATGCTTTCTTCTTTCCTCTATCCCCCCCTTTTGCCTTCAATCTATGTATGTTATGCCTTCTTTTCCTCTATCCCCCCACCTTTGCCTTCAATCTATGTATGTTATGCCTTCTTTTCCTCTATCCCCCCTTTTTGCCTTCAATCTATGTATGTTATGCCTTCTTTTCCTCTATCCCCACCTTTTGCCTTCAATCTATGTATGTTATGCCTTCTTTTCCTCTATCCCCCTTTTTTGCCTTCAATCTATGTATGTTATGCCTTCTTTTCCTCTATCCCCACCTTTTTGCCTTCAATCTATGTATGTTATGCCTTCTTTTCCTCTATCCCCCACCTTTTTGCCTTTCCAATCTATATATGTTATGCCTTCTTTTCCTCTATCCCCCCTTTTGCCTTCAATCTATGTATGTTATGCCTTCTTTTTCCTCTATCCCCCACCTTTTGCCTTCTATGTATCTTATGCCTTCTTTTTCCTCTTCTTTTTTGCCTTCAATCTATCCCCTCTATCCCCACCTTTTGCCTTCAATCTTTTTATGCCTTTCCTCTATCTTTTGCCTTCAATCTATGTATTTATGCCTTTTCCTCTATCCCCACCTTTTGCCTTCAATCTATGTATGTTATGCCTTCTTTTCCTCTATCCCCACCTTTTGCCTTCAATCTATGTATGTTTTCCTCTATGCCTTCAATTCCTCTATCCCCACCTTTTTGCCTTCAATCTATGTATGTTTTTCCTCTATGCCTTCTTTTCTTTTCCTCTATCCCCCCCTTTTGCCTTCAATCTATGTATGTTATGCCTTCTTTTCCTCTATCCCCACCTTTTGCCTTCAATCTATGTATGTTATGCCTTCTTTTCCTCTATCCCCACCTTTTGCCTTCAATCTATGTATGTTATGCCTTCTTTTCCTGTAAACCCACCTCTTGCTTTAATCTATGTATGTTATGCCTTCTTTTCCCCCACCTTTTGCCTTATCCCCTTCTTTTTCTCTTCCCCCTTCAATCTATGTATGTTATGCCTTCTTTTCCTCTATCCCCACCTTTTGCCTTCAATCTATGTATGTTATGCCTTCTTTTTCCTCTATCCCCACCTTTTGCCTTCAATCTATGTATGTTATGCTTTCTTTTCCTCTATCCCCACCTTTTGCCTTCAATCTATGTATGTTATGCCTTCTTTCCTCTTTCCCCCCCCTTTGCCTTCAATCTATGTATGTTATGCTTTCTTTTCCTCTATACCCCCCTCTTGCCTTTAATCTATGTATGTTATGCCTTCTTTTCCTCTATCCCCACCTTTTGCCTTCAATCTATGTATGTTATGCCTTCTTTTCCTCTATCCCCACCTTTTGCCTTCAATCTATGTTCAATCTATGTATGTTATGCCTTCTTTTCCTCTATCCCCCTTTTGCCTTCCTTTCAATCTATGTATGTTTCTTTTCTCTTCTTTTCTATATGTTATACTTTCTTTTCCTCTATCCCCCACCTTTTGCCTTCAATCTATGTATGTTATGCCTTCTTTTCCTCTATCCCCACCTTTTGCCTTCAATCTATGTATGTTATGCCTTCTTTTCCTCTATCCCCACCTTTTGCCTTCAATCTATGTATGTTATGCCTTCTTTCCTCTATCCCCACCTTTTGCCTTCTTTGTATGTTATGCCTTCTTTTCCTCTATCCCCACCTTTTGCCTTCAATCTATGTATGTTATGCCTTCTTTTCCTCTATCCCCACATTTTTGCCTTCAATCTATGTATGTTATGCCTTCTTTTCCTCTATCCCCCCTTTTGCCTTCAATCTATGTATGTTATGCCTTCTTTTCCTCTATCCCCCCACCTTTTGCCTTCAATCTATGTATGTTATGCCTTCTTTTCCTCTATCCCCACCTTTTGCCTTCAATCTATGTATCCCCCCTTTTTTTGCCTTATGCCTTCTTTTTTCCTCTATCCCCCACCTTTTGCCTTCAATCTATGTATGTTATGCCTTCTTTTCTGCCCCACCTTGCTTCAATCTATGTATGTTATGCCTTCTTTCCTCTATCCCCTTTTGCCTTCAATCTATGTATATGTATGCCTTCTTTTCCTCTATCCCACCTTTTGCCTTCAATCTATGTATGTTATGCCTTCTTTTCCTCTATCCCCACCTTTTTTTGCCTTCAATCTATGTATGTTATGCCTTCTCTTCCTTTTCCTCTATCCCCCCCCTTTTGCCTTCAATCTATGTATGTTATGCTTTCTTTTCCTCTATCCCCCCTTTTGCCTTTTTTATACTTTCTTTTCTCTATCCTTCAATCTATTTATGTTATGCCTTCTTTTCCTCTATCCCCATCTTTTGCCTTCAATCTATGTATGTTATGCCTTCTTTTCCTCTATCTCCCCACCTTTTGCCTTCAATCTATGTATGTTATGCCTTCTTTTCCTCTATCCCCACCTTTTGCCTTCAATCTATTTATGTTATGCCTTCTTTTTCCTCTATCCCCACCTTTTGCCTTCAATCTATGTTATGCCTTCTTTTCCTATCCCCCTTTTCCTTCATCTATCCTTTTCCTCTATCCCCTTTTTTGCCTTCAATCTATGTATGTTATGCCTTCTTTTCCTCTATCCCCCCCACCTTTTGCCTTCAATCTATGTATGTTATGCCTTCTTTTCCTCTATCCCCACCTTTTGCCTTCAATCTATATATGTTATGCCTTCTTTTCCTCTATCCCCACATTTTGCCTTCAATCTATGTATGTTATGCCTTCTTTTCCTCTATCCCCACCTTTTGCCTTCAATCTATGTATGTTATGCCTTCTTTTCCTCTATCCCCACCTTTTGCCTTCAATCTATGTATGTTATGCTTTCTTTTCCTCTATCCCCACCTTTTGCCTTCAATCTATGTATGTTATGCCTTCTTTTCCTCTATCCCCACCTTTTGCCTTCAATCTATGTATGTTATGCCTTTTTTCCTCTATCCCCACCTTTTGCCTTCAATCTATGTATGTTATGCCTTCTTTTCCTCTATCCCCACCTTTTTATGCCTTCTTTCCTCTATCCCCCCCTTTTGCCTTCAATCTATGTATGTTATGCCTTCTTTTCCTCTATCCCCACCTTTTGCCTTCAATCTATGTATGCCTTCTTTCTATTTTGTTCATGTTGTTATGCCTTCTTTTCCTCTATCCCCCTCTACCTTTTGCCTTCAATCTATGTATGTTATGCCTTCTTTTCCTCTATCCCCTTTTTGCCTTCAATCTATGTATGTTTTTTCTTTTCCTCTATCCCCCACCTTTTGCCTTCAATCTATGTATGTTATGCCTTCTTTTCCTCTATCCCCCCCTTTTGCCTTCAATCTATATGTTATGCCTTCTTTTCCTCTATCCCCCCACTTCTTTTATGTTATGCCTTCTTTTCCTCTATATGCCTTCAATCTATTATTATGCCTTCTTTTCCTCTATCCCCCCTTTTGCCTTCAATCTATGTATGTTATGCCTTCCCACCTTTTCCTTCTCTATCCCCTCTATCCCCACCTTTTGCCTTCAATCTATGTATGTTATGCCTTCTTTTCCTCTATCCCCACCTTTTGCCTTCAATCTATATGTTGTGTTCTTTTCCTCTATATTTTGCCTTCTTTTATCCTCCTATCCCCCCCTTTTTGCCTTCAATCTATATGTTATGCCTTCTTTTCTTTCCCCCCACCCTTCAATCTATCCCCCCCCCCACCTTTTGCCTTCAATCTATGTATGTTATCCCCACCTTTTGCCTTTTTTCCTCTATCCCCACCTTTTGCCTTCAATCTATGTATGTTATGCCTTCTTTTCCTCTATCCCCCCCCACCTTTTGCCTTCAATCTATGTATGTTATGCCTTCTTTTCCTCTATCCCCCCTTTTGCCTTCAATCTATGTATGTTATGCCTTCTTTTCCTCTATCCCCTTTTTTCTATGTTCAATCTATCTTTTTTGTTATGCCTTCTTTCCTCTATCCCCCCCCCTTTTGCCTTCAATCTATGTATGTTATGCCTTCTTTTCCTCTATCCCCACCTTTTGCCTTCAATCTATGTATGTTATGCCTTCTTCTTTTCCTTCAATCCCCCCTTTTTTCCTCTATCCCCCCACCTCTATGTATGTTATGCCTTCTTTTCCTCTATCCCCCTCTACCTTTTGCCTTCAATCTATGTATGTTATGCCTTCTTTTCCTCTATCCCCTCTATCCCCACCTTTTGCCTTCAATCTATGTATTATGTTTCTTTTCTCTATCCCCACCTTTTGCCTTCTATTTCCTTTCCTCTATCCCCACCTTTTGCCTTCAATCTATGTATGTTATGCCTTCTTTTCTTATCCCCACCTTTTGCCTTCAATCTATGTATGTTTCTTTTCCTCTATCCCCCACCTTTTGCCTCTATCCTTTTCATCTACCCCCACATTTGCCTTCAATCTATGTATGTTATGCCTTCTTTTCCTCTATCCCCCACCTTTTTGCCTTCAATCTATGTATGTTATGCCTTCTTTTCCTCTATCCCCACCTTTTGCCTTCAATCTATGTATGTTATACCTTCTTTTCCTCTATTCTTTTTAATCTATGTATGTTATGCCTTCTTTTTCTATCCCCACTTTTTGCCTTCAATCTATGTATGTTATACCTTCTTTCCTCTCTCTCCCCCCTTTTGCCTTCAATCTATGTATGTTATGCCTTCTTTTCCTCTATCCCCACCTTTTGCCTTCAATCTATGTATGTTATGCCTTCTTTTCCTCTATCCCCACCTTTTTGCCTTCAATCTATGTATGTTATGCCTTCTTTTCCTCTATCCCCCACCTTTTGCCTTCAATCTATGTATGTTATGCCTTCTTTTCCTCTATCCCCCCCTTTTTGCCTTCAATCTATGTATGTTATACCTTTTTCCTCTATCCCCACCCTTTTGCCTTCAATCTATGTATGTTATGCCTTTCTTTTCCTCTCTCCCCTTTTGCCTTCAATCTATTATGTTATGCCTTCTTTCCTCTATCCCCACCTTTTGCCTTCAATCTATGTATGTTATACCTTCTTTTCCTCTATCCCCACCTTTTTGCCTTCAATCTCTGTATTATGCCTTATCTATCCCCACCTTTTGCCTTCTTTTCCTTCTTTTCCTCCCCCCACCTTTTGCCTTCAATCTATGTATGTTATGCCTTCTTTTCCTCTATTTTTGCCTTCAATCTATATATTTATGCTTTCTTTTCCTCTATCCCCACCTTTTGCCTTCAATCTATGTATGTTATGCCTTCTTTTCCTCTATCCCCACCTTTTGCCTTCAATCTATGTATTTATGCTTTCTTTCCTCTTTCCCCCCCCTTTCCCCAATCTATGTTTTATGCCTTCTTTCTTCTATCCCCCTTTTGCCTTCAATCTATGTATGTTATTATGCCTTCTTTTCCTCTATTCCTCATTACCTTTTGCCTTCAATCTATGTATGTTCTTTTCCTCTATCCCCCTTTTGCCTCTCTTTATATTTATACCTTCTTTTCCTCCCCACCTTTTGCCTTCAATCTATGTATGTTATATCTTCTTTTCCTCTATCCCCCCCCTTTTGCCTTCAATCTATGTATGTTATTTCTTTTCCTCTATCCCCCCTTTTCACCTCTATCTATGTTATGCCCCTTTTCCTCTATCCCCACCTTTTGCCTTCAATCTATGTATGTTATGCCTTCTTTTCCTCTATCCCCCCCTTTTGCCTTCAATCTATGTATGTTATGCCTTCTTTTCCTCTATCCCCCCACCTTTGCCTTCAATCTATGTTTATGCCTTCTTTTCCTCTATCCCCCCCTTTTGCCTTCAATCTCTGTAATGTTATGCCTTCTTTTTCCTCTATCCCCCACCTTTTGCCTTCAATCAATGTATGTTTTCCTTTCCTCTATCCCCACCTTTTGCCTTCAATCTATGTATGTTATGCCTTCTTTTCCTCTATCCCCCCCTTTTGCCTTCAATCTATGTATGTTATGCCTTCTTTTCCTTTTGCTATCCCTTTTCCTCTATCCCCCCACCTTTTGCCTTCAATCTATGTTATGTTATCTGCCTTCTTTTCCTCCTATCCCCCCTCTTGCAATCTTCAATCTATCCCCTTTTGCCTTCAATCTATTATTTATGCCTCTTTTCCTCCCCCCTTTTGCCTTCCAATCTATGTATGTTATGCCTTCTTTTCCTCTATACCCCCCTCCTTTTGCCTTCAATCTATATATATTATGCCTTCTTTTCCTCTATCCCCACCTTTTGCCCCCCTATGTATGTTATGCTTTTTTCCTCTATCCCCATTTGCCTTCAATCTATGTTATGCCTTCTTTTCTTCTTTCCCACCTTTTGCCTTCAATCTATGGATGTTATGCCTTCTTTTCCTCTATTTTTTGCCTTCAATCTATGTATGTTATGCTTCTTTCCTCTCCCCCCCTCCTTCAATCTATGTATGTTATGCTTTCTTTCTGTATCCTTTTTTGCCTTCAATCTATGTATGTTATGCCTTCTTTTCCTCTATCCCCCTTTTGCCTTCAATCTATGTATGTTTATGCTTTCTTTTCCTCTATCCCCCCCCTTTTTTCCAATCTATGTATGTTATGCCTTTCTTTTCCTCTATCCCCCTCTACCTTTTGCCTTCCAATCTATGTATGTTTATGCCTTCTTTTCCTCTATCCCCCCTTTTGCCTTCAATCTATGTATGTTATGCCTTCTTTTCCTCTATCCCCTTTTTGCCTTCAATCTATGTATGTTATGCCTTCTTTTCCCTCCCCCTACCCACTCTTTTGCCTTCAATCTATGTATTTATGCCTTCTTTTCCTCTATCCCCACCTTTTGCCTTCAATCTATGTATGTTATGCCTTCTTTTCCTCCCCACCTTTTGCCTTCATCTCCCCACCTTTTTGCCTTCAATCTATGTATGTTATGCCTTCTTTTCCTCCTTTAATCTATGTATGTTGCTGTCTTTTCCTCTATCCCCCACCTTTGCCTTCAATCTATGTTTTATGCCTTCTTTTCCTCTATCCCCACCTTTTGCCTTCAATCTATGCCTTTATGCCTTCTTTTCCTCTATCCCCCCTTTTGCCTTCAATCTCTATGTTATGCCTTCTTTTTCTCTATCCCCCACCTTTTGCCTTCAATCTATGTATGTTATTTTGCCTTCTTTTCCTCTATCCCCACCTTTTGCCTTCAATCTATGTATGTTATGCCTTCTTTTCCTCTATCCCCCTCCTTTTGCCTTCAATCTATGTATGTTATGCCTTTTTTCTCTATCCCCCCTCTTTTTTGCCTTCAATCTATGTATGTTATGCCTTCTTTTTTCCTCTATCCCCCCCTTTTGCCTTCAATCTATGTATGTTATGTTTTCTTTTCCTCTATCCCCACCTTTTGCCTTCAATCTATGTATGTTATGCCTTCTTTTCCTCTATCCCCACCCCCACATTTGCCTTCAATCTATGTATGTTATGCCCCTTTTGCTTTTCTATGTATGTTATCTTTCTTTTTTTTGCCTTCAATCTATGTATGTTATGCCTTCTTTTCTCTATCCCCACCTTTTGCCTTCAATCTATGTATGTTATACCTTCTTTTCCTCTATCCCCACCTTTTGCCTTCAATCTATGTAGGTTATGCCTTCTTTTCCTCTATCCCCTTTTGCCCCTATGTATATTATGCCTTTTCATCTATCCCCACCTTTTAATCTATCTATGTTATGCCTTCTTTTCCTCTATCCCCCTTCTTTTGCCTTCTTTCTATGTAGGTTATGCTTTCTTTTCCTCTATACCCCCCTCTTGCCTTCAATCTATGTATGTTATGCCTTCTTTTCCTCTATCCCCACCTTTTGCCTTCAATCTATGTATGTTATGCCTTCTTTTCCTCTATCCCCACCTTTTGCCTTCAATCTATGTATGTTATGCCTTCTTTTCCTCTATCCCCACCTTTTGCCTTCAATCTATGTATGTTATACCTTCTTTCCTCTATCCCCCCATTTTGCCTTCTTTGTATGTTATGCCTCTATCCCCACCTTTTGCCTTCAATCTATGTATGTTATGCCTTCTTTTCCTCTATCTATCCCCCTTTTGCCTTCAATCTATATGTATCTATGTTCTTTTCCTCTATCCCCACCTTTTGCCCTTCAATCTATGTATGTTCCTTCTTTTTCCTCTATCCCCACCCCCACCTTTTGCCTTCAATCTAATCTATGTATGTTATGCCTTCTTTTCCTCTATCCCCCACCTTTTTTCCTGCCTTCAATCTATGTATGTTATGCCTTCTTTTCCTCTATCCCCCACCTTTTTTCTCTATCCACACCTTTGCCTTCAATCTATGTATGTTATGCTTTCTTTTTTCCTCTATCCCCACCTTTTTTGCCTTCAATCTATGTATGTTATGCCTTCTTTTCCTTCTATCCACCATTCAATCTATGTATGTTATGCCTTCTTCTCTATCCCCCACCTTTTTGTCTATGTTATGCTTTCTTTTCCTCTATCCCCCCCTTTTGCCTTCAATCTATGTATGTTATGCCTTCTTTTCCTCTATCCCCACCTTCAAATCTTTTGTTATGCCTTCTTTTCATCTAATTTGCTATCTATGTTATGCCTTCTTTTCCTCTATCCCCACCTTTTGCCTTCAATCTATGTATATGTCTTCTTTTCCTCTATCCCCCCCCTTTTGCTTCAATCTATGTTATGCCTTCTTTTCCTCTATCCCCACCTTTTTGTATGTTATGCCTTCTTTTCCTCAATTTTGCCTTCAATCAATGTATGTTATGCCTTCTTTTCCTCTATCCCCCACCTTTTGCCTTCAATCTATGTATGTTTATGCCTTCTTTTCCTCTATCCCCCATTTTTCTTCTTTGTATGTTATGCCCTTCAATCTATGTAATCTATGTTATGCCCTTCTTTCCTCTATCCCCACCTTTTTGCCTTCAATCTATGTATGTTATGCCTTCTTTTCCTCTATCCCCCCTTTTGCCTTCAATCTTTGTTATGCCTTCTTTTTCCTCTATCCCCCCTTTTGCCTTCAATCTCTATGTATGTTATGCCTTCTTTTCCTCTATCCCCCACCTTTTTGCCTTCAATCTATGTATGTTATGCCTTCTTTTCCTCTATCCCCCCCACCTTTTGCCTTCAATCTATGTATGTTGGCACCTTCTTTTCCTCTATCCCCCACCTTTTGCCTTCAATCTAATCCTGTTATACCTTCTTTTCCCTCTATCCCCACCTTTTGCCTTCAATCTATGTATGTTTATGCCTTCTTTTCCTCTATCCCCTTTTGCCTTCAATCTATGTATGTTATGCCTTCTTTTCCTCTATCCCCACCTTTTGCCTTCAATCTATGTATGTTATGCCTTCTTTTCCTCTATCCCCACCTTTTGCCTTTAATCTATGTATGTTATGCCTTCTTTTCCCCCCCCCCCCATCCTTCAATCTATGTTATGCTTTCTTTTCCTCTATCCCCTCTTTGCCTTCAATCTATGTATGTTATACTTCTTTCATATCCCCATTTTGTTCAATCTATCTTTTTGTTTTCTTCTATCCCCTTTTGCCTTCAATCTATGTATGTTATCCTTCTTCCCCCACCTTTTGCCTTCAATCTATGTTATGTTCTTTTTCCTCTATCCCCCACTTTTGCCTTCAATCTATGTATGTTTTCCTCTATCCCCACCTTTTTTGCCTTCAATCTATGTATGTTATGCCTTCTTTTCCTCTATCCCCCACCTTTTGCCTTCAATCTATGTATGTTATGCTTTCTTTGTACTTTTCTTGCCTCTATCCCCACCTTTTGCCTTCAATCTATGTATGTTATGCCTTCTTTTCCTCTATCCCCACCTTTTGCCTTCAATCTATGTATGTTATGCCTTCTTTTCCTCTATCCCCACCTTTTGCCTTCAATCTATGTATGTTATGCCTTCTTTTCCTCTATACCCCCCTCTTGCCTTCAATCTATGTATGTTATGCCTTCTTTTCCTCTATCCCCACCTTTTGCCTTCAATCTATGTTATGTTGTGCCTTCTTTTCTTCCCACCTTTTGCCTTCAATCTTTTGCTTTCTTTCCTATCCCCCCTCTTGCCTTCAATCTATATGTTCAATATGCCTTCTTTTCTCTTCTATCCCCACCTTCAATCTTGTGTTATGCCTTCCTCTCCAATCTATCCCTTCTTTTTCCCTATCCCCACCTTTTTGCCTTCAATCTATGTATGTTATGCCTTCTTTTCTATCCCCCCCTTTTGCCTTCAATCTATGTATGTTATCCTTCTTTTCCTCTATCTTTTTGCCTTCAATCTGTATGTTATGCCTTCTTTTCATCTATCCCCACCTTTTGTTCATCTATGTATGTTGTGCCTTCTTTTCCTCTATCCCCCCCTTTTTTTCAATCTATGTATGTTATGCCTTCTTTCTATCCCCACCTTTTTGCCTTCAATCTATGTTATTTCTTTCTTTTCCTTTGCTATCCCCCCATTTTTTGCCTTCAATCTATGTATGTTATGCCTTCTTTTCCTCTATCCCCACCTTTTGCCTTCAATCTATGTATGTTATGCTTTCTTTCCTCTATCCCCCCTTTTTTGCCTTTAATCTATCTATATGTTATGCCTTCTTTTCCTCTATCCCCTTTTCCTCTATGTGTATGCCTTCTTTCCCCACCTTTTTGCCTTCAATCTATGTTATTGCCTTCTTTTCCTCTATCCCCATCCTTCAATCTATGTATGTTATACTTTCTTTTCCTCTATCCCCATCTTTTGCCTTCAATCTATGTATGTTATTTCTTTTCCTCTATCCCCACCTTTTGCCTTCAATCTATGTATGTTATACCTTCTTTCCTTTCCCCATCTTTTGCCTTCAATCTATGTGGGTTGCCTTTTCCTCCATACCCCCCTTGCCTTCAATCTATGTATGTTATGCCTTCTTTTTCCTATCTTTGCCTTCCAATCCCTCTGTCCCCCCTTCAATCTATTATGTTATGTGTTATACCTGTCTTTTCCTCTCTATCCCCACCTTTTTGTTCAATCTATGTATGTTATGCCTTCTTTTCTCTATCCCCACCTTTTGCCTTCAATCTATATATGTTATACCTTCTTTTCCTCTATCCCCCCTTTTGCCTTCAATCTTTTTTGCCCTCTATCCCCCTTTTGCCTTCAATCTATGTATGTTTTTGCCTTCTTTCCTCCCTCCCCTTTTTGGACAATCTATGTATGTTATGCCTTCTTTTCCTCTATCCCCCCACCTTTTGCCTTCAATTGTATGTTATACCTTCTTTTCCTCTATCCCCACCTTTTGCCTTCTTTTTATGCCTCTATCCCCCCCCCTTTAATCTTCATGCTTTCTTTTCCTCTATCCCCCCTTTTTGCCTTCAATCTATGTTTTATGCCTTCTTTTCCTCTATCCCCACCTTTTTGCCTTCAATCTATGTGTTATGCCTTCTTTTCCTCTATCCCCACTATGTATGTTATGCCTTCTTTTCCTCTATCCCCCACCTTTTGCCTTCAATCTATGTATTCTTTTCCTCTATCCCCACCTTTTGCCTTCAATCTATGTATGTTATGCCTTCTTTTCCTCTATCCCCACCTTTTGCCTTCAATCTATGTATGTTATGCCTTCTTTTCCTCTATCCCCACCTTTTGCCTTCAATCTATGTAGGTTATGCTTTCATTTCCTCTATACCCCTTGCCTTTAATCTATGTAGGTTATGCTTTCTTTTCCTCTATCCCCACCTTTTGCCTTCAATCTATGTATGTTATGCCTTCTTTTCCTCTATCCCCACCTTTTGCCTTCAATCTATGTATGTTATGCCTTCTTTTCCTCTATCCCCACCTTTTTGCCTTCAATCTATGTGTATGCCTTCTTTTCCTCTATACCCCCACCTCCATCCTTTAATCCTTTTTGTTATTCTATCTCTCCCCACCTTTGCCTTCAATCTATGTATGTTATTCTTTTCCTCTATCCCCACCTTTTGCCTTCAATCTATGTATGTTATGCCTTCTTTTCCTCTATCCCCCCCTTTTGCCTTCAATCTATGTATGTTATGCTTTTTCCCCCTTTTGCCTCTATCCCCTATCCTCACCTTTTGCCTTCAATCTATGTATGTTATGCCTTCCCTTTTCCTCTATCCCCACCTTTTGCCTTCAATCTATGTATGTTATGCCTTCTTTTCCTCTATCCCCCCTTTTTGCCTTCAATCTATGTATGTTATTCTTTTCTTTTTTTGCCTCTATGTATGTTATGCCCCCTTTTGCCTTCAATCTATGTATGTTATGCCTTCTTTTCCTCTATCCCCACCTTTTTGCCTTCAATCTATGTATGTTATGCCTTCTTTTCCTCTATCCCCCACCTTTTGCCTTCAATCTATGTATGTTATGCTTTCTTTTCTCTACCCCCCACCTTTTGCCTTCAATCTATGTTTATGCCTTCTTTCCTCTATCCCCTTTTGCCTTCAATCTATGTATGTTATGCCTTCTTTTCCTCTATCCCCACCTTTTGCCTTCAATCTATGTATGTTATTTCTTTTCCTCTATACCCACCTTTTTGCCTTTAATCTATGTATGTTATGCCTTCTTTTCCCCCCTTTTGCCTTCAATCTATGTATGTTATGCTTTCTTTTCCTCTATATCCCCCCTTTTGCCTTCAATCTATGTTATGCCTTCTTTCCTCTATCCCCCACCTCTTTTCCTCCTTTTTGCTTCAATCTATGTATGTTATGCCTTCTTTTCCTCTATCCCCACCTTTTGCCTTCAATCTATGTATGTTATGCCTTCTTTCCTCTATCCCCACCTTTTGCCTTCTCTATGTATGTTATGCCTTCTTTTCCTATCCCCACCTTTTGCCTTTTAATCTATGTATGTTATTACTTCTTTTCCTCTATATCCCCATTTTTGCCTTCATCTATGTATGTTATGCCTTCTTTTATCCCCCCCTTTTTTTTCAATCTATGTATGTTATGCCTTCTTTCTTCTATCCCCCTCTTGCCTTTAATCTATGTATGTTGGGCCTTCTTTTCCTCTATCCCCATTTTGCCTTCAATCTATGTATGTTATGCCTTCTTTTCCTCTATCCCCACCTTTTTGCCTTCAATCTATGTATGTTATGCCTTTTTTTCCTCCTCCCCACCTTTTTTGCCTTCAATCTATGTATGTTATGCCTTCTTTTCCTCTATCCCCCCTTTTTTTGCCTTCAATCTATGTATGCCTTCAATCTATGTATTTTCCTTCTATCCCCACCTTTTGCCTTCAATCTATGTATGTTGTGCCTTCTTTTCCTCTATCCCCACCTTTTGCCTTCAATCTATGTATGTTATGCCTTCTTTTCCTCTATCCCCACCTTTTGCCTTCAATCTATGTAGGTTATGCTTTCTTTTCCTCTATCCCCCCTCTTTTTTTCTTATCCCCATCCCCTTTTTGCCTTCAATCTATGTATGTTATGCCTTCTTTTCCTCTATCCCCACCTTTTGCCTTCAATCTATGTATGTTATGCCTTCTTTTCCTCTATCCCCACCTTTTGCCTTCAATCTATGTATGTTATGACTTCTTTTCCTCTATCCCCCCCTTTTGCCTTCAATCTATGTATGTTATGCCTTCTTTTCTCTATATCCCCCCCTTTTTGCCTTCAATCTATGTATGTTATGCCTTCTTTTCCTCTATCCCCACCTTTTGCCTTCTATCTATGTATTATGCCTTCTTTTCCTCTCCCCCCCCTTTTGCCTTCAATCTATGTATGTTTAATCTATGTATGTTTTTTTTCCTCTATCCCCACCTTTTTTGTCAATCTATGTATGTTATGCCTTCTTTTCCTCTATCCCCACCTTTTGCCTTCAATCTATGTATGTTATGTTTTCTTTTCCTCTATCCCCAATCTATGTATGTTATGCCTTTTTTCCTCTATCCCCACCTTTTTGCCTTCAATCTATGTATGTTATGCCTTCTTTTCCTCTATCCCCACCTTTTGCCTTCAATCTATGTATGCCTTCTTTTTCCTCTATCCCCACCTTTTGCCTTTTTTTCCTCTATCCCCCCTTTTGCCTTCAATCTATGTATGTTATGCCTTCTTTTCCTCTATCCCCCCTTTTTGCCTTCAATCTATGTATGTTATGCCTTCTTTTCCTCTATCCCCACCTTTTGCCTTCAATCTATGTATGTTATGCCTTCTTTTCTTTTATCCCCCCTTTGCCTTCAATCCCCCCCGTTTTCCCTTTCCTCTATCCCCACCTTTGCCTTCAATCTATGTATGTTATGCCTTCTTTTCCTCTATACCTTCAATCTATTTGTTATACCTTCTTTTCCTCTATCCCCACCTTTTGCCTTCAATCTATGTATGTTATGCCTTCTTTTCCTCTATCCCACCCTTTTGCCTTCAATCTATGTATGTTATGCCTTCTTTTCCTCTATCCCCACCTTTTGCCTTCAATCTATATATGTTATGCCTTCTTTTCCTCTATCCCCCTTTTTGCCTTCAATCTATGTATGTTATGCCTTCTTTTCCTCTATCCCCCACCTTTTGCCTTCAATCTATGTATGTTATGCCTTCTTTTCCTCTATCCCCACCTTTTTGCCTTCAATCTATGTATGTTATGCCTTCTTTTCCTCTATCCCCACCTTTTGCCTTCCTATGTATGTTATGCCTTCTTTTCCTCTATCCCCACCTTTTGCCTTCAATCTATGTATGTTATGCCTTCTTTTCCTTCTATCTCCTTTTCCTCCTTTTGCCTTCAATCTATGTATGTTATGCCTTCTTTTCCTCTATCTCCCCTTTTTTGCCTTCAATCTATGTATGTTTTCTTTTCCTCTATCCCCACCTTTTGCCTTCAATCTATGTATGCCTTCTTTTCTATCCCACCTCTTTGCCTCATCCCCACCTTTTTTGCCTTCAATCTATGTATGTTATGCCTTCTTTTCCTCTATCTCCCTTTTTTGCCTTCAATCTATATATGTTATGCCTTCTTTTCCTCTATCCCCACTTTTTGCCTTCAATCTATGTATTTGCCTTCTTTTCCTCTATCCCCACCTTTTGCCTTCAATCTATGTATGTTATGCTTTCTTTCCTCTATCCCCACTTTTGCCTTCAATCTATGTATGTTATGCCTTCTTTTCCTCTATCCCCACCTTTTGCCTTCAATCTATGTATGTGTATGCCTTCTTTTCCTCTATCCCCACCTTTTGCCTTCAATCTATGTTTTATGCCTTCTTTCCTCTATCCCCCCCTTTGCCTGTAATCTATGCCTTCCTTTTTTTCCTCTATCCCCACCTTTTGCCTTTTATGCCTTCTTTCAATCTATGTATGTTATGCCTTTTCTTTTCCTCTATCCCCAATCCTTTTGCCTTCTTTTTATCCCCTAATCTATGTATGTTATGCCTTCTTTCTTTCCAATCTGTGTATGTTATGCTTTTTTTCCTCTATCCCCACCTTTTGCCTTCAATCTATATATGTTATGCCTTCTTTTCCTCTATCCCCACCTTTTTGCCTTCAATCTATGTATATTATACTTCTTTTCCTCTATCCCCCCTTTTGCCTTCAATCTATATGTTATGCCTTCTTTTCCTCTATCCCCACCTTTTGCCTTCAATCTATGTATGTTATGCCTTCTTTTCCCCCCCCTCTATCCCCCTTTTTTCTTTTGCCTTCTCTATATATTATGCCTTCTTTTCCTCTATCCCCACCTTTTGCCTTCAATCTATATGTTATGCCTTCTTTTCCTCTATCCCCACCTTTGCCTTCAATCTATGTATTGTATGCTTTCTTTTCCTCTATCCCCACCTTTTGCCTTCAATCTATGTATGTTATGCCTTCTTTTCCTCTATCCCCCACTTTTGCCTTCCAATCTATGTATGTTATGCCTTCTTTTCCTCTATCCCCACCTTTTGCCTTCAATCTATGTATGTTATGCCTTCTTTTCCTCTATCCCCACCTTTTGCCTTCAATCTATGTATGTTATGCCTTCTTTTCCTCTAACCCCACCTCTTGCTTTAATCTATGTAGGTTATGCTTTCTTTTCCTCTATCCCCACCTTTTGCCTTCAATCTATGTTTTGCCTGTTATGCCTTCTTTTCCTCTATCCCCCCTTTTGCCTTCAATCTATGTATCTATTTATGTTATGCTTTCTTTCCTCTATCCCCCACCTTTTGCCTTCAATCTAATCCCCCCCTTTTGCTTTAATCTATTTATGTTATGCTTTCTTTCCTCTATCCCCCCTTTTGCCTTCAATCTATCCCCCTCTATCCCCACCTTTTGCCTTCAATCTATGTATGTTATGCCTTCTTTTCCTCTATCCCCCACCTTTTGCCTTCAATCTATGTATGTTATGCCTTTTTTCTCTATCTATTTTTGCCTTCAATCTATGTATGTTATGCCTTCTTTTCCTCTATCTCCTTTTTGCCTTCAATCTATGTATGTTATGCCTTCTTTTCCTCTATCCCCACCTTTTGCCTTCAATCTATGTATGTTATTATCTTTTCCTCTATCCCCCACCTTTTCCTTTAATCTATGTATGTTATGCCTTCTTTTCCTCTATCCCCACCTTTTGCCTTTTAATCTATGTATGTTATGCCTTCTTTTCCTCTATCCCCACCTTTTGCCTTCAATCTATGTATGTTATGCCTTCTTTTCCTCTATCCCCCCTTTTTGCCTTCAATCTATGTATTATACCTTCTTTTCCTCTATCCCCACCTTTTGCCTTCAATCTTTGCCTTCAATGTTATGCCTTCTTTCCTCTATCCCCACCTTTTGCCTTCAATCTATCTTTTCTCTATCCCCAATCTATATGTTATTATTTCCCTCTTTTTTGCCTTCAATCTATGTATGTTATGCCTTCTTTTCCTCTATCCCCACCTTTTGCCTTCAATCTATGTATGTTATGCCTTCTTTCCTCTATCCCCCACCTTTTGCCTTCAATCTATATGTATGTTTCTTTTTCTCTATACCCCCTCTTTTCTATCCTTTAATCTATGTAGGTTATGCTTTCTTTTCCTCTATCCCACCTTTTGCCTTCAATCTATGTATGTTATGCCTTCTTTTCCCTATCCCCACCTTTTCCTCTATCCCCTATCTTTTTGCCTTCAATCTATGTATGTTATGCCTTCTTTTCCTCTATCCCCACCTTTTGCCTTCAATCTATGTATGTTATGCCTTCTTTTCCTCTATCTCCCACCTCCCCTTTTTCCTTTTTTGCCTTCAATCTATGTATGTTATGCCTTCTTTTCCTCTATCCCCCCCTTTTGCCTTTCATCTATGTATGTTATGCCTTCTTTTCCTCCTTTAATCTATGTTATGTTATTCCCTATCCCCCCTTTTGCCTTCAATCTATGTATGTTATGCCTTCTTTTCTCTATCCCCACCTTTTGCCTTCAATCTATGTATGTTATGCCTTCTTTTTCTCTATCCCCACCTTTTTGCCTTCAATCTATGTTATGCCTTCTTTCCTCTATCCCCCTTTTGCCTTCAATCTATGTATGTTATGCCTTCTTTCCTCTATCCCCCATTTTGCCTTCAATCTATGTATGTTATGCCTTCTTTTCCTCTATCCCCACCTTTTGCCTTCAATCTATGTATGTTATGCCTTCTTTTCCTCTATCCCCCCCTTTTGCCTTCAATCTATGTATGTTATGCCTTCTTTTCCTCTATCCCCACCTTTTGTTCAATCTATGTATGTTATGCCTTCTTTTCCTCTATCCCCACCTTTTGCCTTCAATCTATGTATGTTATTCTTTCCTTATCCCCACCTTTTGCCTTTAATCTATATATGTTATCTTTTCTCTATCCCCCCTTTTGCCTTCAATCTATGTATGTTATGCCTTCTTTTCCTCTATCCCCACCTTTTGCCTTCTTTTCTCTAATCTATGTATGTTATGCCTTCTTTTCCTCTATCCCCACCTTTTGCCTTCAATCTATGTATGTTATCCCCCCCTTTGCCTTCTCTTTATGTTATGCCTTTTCTATATCCCCACCTTTTGCCTTCAATCTATGTATGTTATGCCTTCTTTTCCTCTATCCCCACCTTTTGCCTTCAATCTATGTGTGTGCCTTCTTATCCCCCCCTTTGCCTTTAATCTATTTTTATGCCTTCAATCTATCTATGTTATGCCTTCTTTTCCTCTATCCCCCTTTTGCCTTCAATCTATGTATGTTATGCTTTCTTTTCCTCTATCCCCCCTTTGCCTTCAATCTATGTATGTTATGCCTTCTTTTCCTCTATCCCCACCTTTTGCCTTCAATCTATGTATGTTATGCCTTCTTTTCCTCTATCCCCACCTTTTTTGCCTTCAATCTATGTATGTTATGCCTTCTTTTCCTCTATCCCCACCTTTTGCCTTCAATCTATGTATGTTATGCCTTCTTTTCCTCTATCCCCCCTTTTGCCTTTAATCTATGTATGTTATGCCTTCTTTTCCTCTATCCCCCCACCTTTTGCCTTCAATCTATGTATGTTATGCCTTCTTTTCCTATCCCCCACCTAATCCCTTCTTTTCCTCTATCCCCACCTTTTGCCTTCAATCTATGTATGTTATGCCTTCTTTCCTCTATCCCCCCCCCTTTTTGCCTTCAATCTATGTATGTTATGCCTTCTTTTCCTCTATATCCCACCTTTTGCCTTCAATCTATGTATGTTATGCCTTCTTTTCCTTCCCCCACCTTTTTGCTTCAATCTATGTATGTTATGCTTCTTTCTATCCCCCCTTTTGCCTTTAATCTATGTATGTTATCCCCACCTTTTTGCCTTCTTTTCCTCTATCCCCACCTTTTGCCTTCAATCTATGTATGTTATTTCTTTTCCCCTTTTTGCCTTCAATCTATGTATGTTATGCCTTCTTTTCCTCTATCCCCCCCTTTTTCAATCTATAGATGTTATGCCTTCTTTTCCTCTATCCCCTTTTGCCTTCAATCTATCCTTCTTTTCCTCTATCCCCACCTTTTGCCTTCAATCTATGTATGTTATGCCTTCTTTTCCTCTATCCCCACCTTTTGCCTTCAATCTATGTTCTTTTATCCCCACCTTTTGCCTTCAATCTATTATGTTATGCCTTCTTTTTCTCTATCCCCACCTTTTGCCTTCAATCTATGTATGTTATGCCTTTTTTCCTCTATCCCCACCTTTTGCCTTCAATCTATGTATGTTATGCCTTCTTTTCCTCTATCCCCCCCTTTTTTGCCTTCAATCTATGTATGTTATGCCTTCTTTTCCTCTATCCCCAAATCTATGTATGTTATGCCTTCTTTTCCTCTATCCCCACCTTTTGCCTTCAATCTATGTATGTTATGCCTTCTTTTCCTCTATCCCCACCTTTTGCCTTCAATCTATGTATGTTATGCTTCTTTCTCTATCCCCACCTTTTGCCTTCAATCTATGTATGTTATGCCTTCTTTTCCTCTATCCCCACCTTTTGCCTTCAATCTATGTATGTTATGCCTTCTTTTCCTCTATCCCCACCTTTTGCCTTCAATCTATGTATGTTATGCCTTCTTTTCCTCTATCCCCCACCTTTTTGCCTTCAATCTATGTATGTTATGCCTTTCTTTCCTCTATCCCCACCTTTTTTTGCCTTCAATCTATATGTTATGCCTTCTTTTCCTCTATCCCCACCCTTCTTTTCCTCTATCCCCACCTTTTGCCTTCAATCTATGTATGTTATGCCTTCTTTTCCTCTATCCCCACCTTTTGCCTTCAATCTATGTATGTTATGCCTTTTCCTTTCCCCACCTTTTGCCTTCAATCTATGTATGTTATGCTTCTCTATGTATGTTATGCTCCCCTATCCCTTTTGCCTTCAATCTATGTATGTTATGCTTTCTTTTTCTCTATACCCCCCTCTCGCCTTTAATCTATGTAGGTTATGCTGTCTTTTCCTCTATCCCCACCTTTTGCCTTCAATCTATGTATGTTATGCCTTCTTTTCCTCTATCCCCACCTTTTGCCTTCAATCTATGTATGTTATGCCTTCTTTTCCTCTATCCCCACCTTTTGCCTTCAATCTATGTATGTTATGCCTTCTTTTCCTCTATCCCCACCTTTTGCCTTCAATCTATGTATGTTATGCTTTCTTTTCCTCTATCCCCACCTTTTGCCTTCAATCTATGTATGTTATGCTTTCTTTTCCTCTATACCCCCCTCTTGCCTTTAATCTATGTAGGTTATGCTTTCTTTTCCTCTATCCCCACCTTTTGCCTTCAATCTATGTATGTTATGCTTTCTTTTCCTCTATCCACACCTTTTGCCTTCAATCTATGTAGGTTATGCTTTCTTTTCTGTATTCCACCCCCCTCTTGCATTCAATCTTTTCTGACCTTTTTTTTCTCCTCATTATGTGCCGTAGAAATTTCGGTTGTCTGTTTCTGTTTTTGTTCCCATTTTCTCTAAAACGCCGACGTTGCTCCCATTTTCGGTTTATTGTATTCTCAGCATTCTTCTGTAGAATCACATATCTGTTGTTTCATGTCTCTTCTTCATCTGTGGGGAGATTGTTCTGCCATAGGGAAAGACTGATACTAATTATAAAAACCAAAATAAAATCCCGATATTATGTTTATAAAAATATATTATTAATTAAATGATTATAACTAATAAAACCGTTATTATTTAAATGTGTATTAAAAATTCTACTTATAATCTATCTATAAATTTATATAACATGATTTTCAACGCTTGACTTGTTTGTATTAGTTATCTCCCTTATAACTGCCATTATTCTGAGATAATGATGGAAGCTGTTTTCTATCAATATCAACTGCTGTAAACGACCCTTCACCAAGAAAATTGCAGGACGAAAAATTGTAAACCTGCATGAATAATCCCAGTAGCTTATCCATAATTTACACAACTATTTTTTGTGTTTGAGTCACATTTTTAACTTTCCTAAAATCTATTTAATCTGATTGTTTGTTATTACTTCGATCCGCCAGTTTACGGTAAGCATTTTTTTTCTTATCTTTGCTTTTTGATTTTGATTTATATATTTTTATATATTTATATATACTTTTAAAATGCCCGTTTTTAAAGTTTTAATAAAATATTTTTCTCTATTCAGACTAGCTAAAGATAAGTCAATTTTGACAAAGAAAAATTTACATTAATATGACAGCTTTCAGATTAAAAATAAAAAACGATCAATTGAGTGAAATTTACACTAAACACTCCTAATACCATCTGGTGACGAACAAAATTTACATTTAGGCCAAACTAACAAAATGTACGTTAATATGACAGCAGTAAGTATCTGCTGTTCTACATCACGCGATTCTTGACAAAATCCAAAAAATTCTGTAATGTAATCGATGCTGACCCTGCATCTCAACTTCAGTCACTTTCTCATTTCTGGAGCCTCGACTGCTTGAATTTAATCATGTTACTGCATTGGCAACTAGGTCTCATTGTTTTACTCTTGAAATAGCTAGATGCAACCGTCGCTACTATTCTGACAGTTTCTTTTCTCGCACTTCCCACGAGTGGAACTCCATTACGACTTTTTGCTTCCCTGATAAATACAATCTTGAAAAAATTTAAATGCAACATCAATCGCCATCTTCTGTCTTCTTGAACCCTGTTCTTTTTTTCCTTTCCTCAACCATCTACAAAGATTTAATTTCAACGTCAATCGCCATCTTCTTTTTTCTTGAACCCTGTTCCTTTTTTGCCGTTTCCTTAATTCTGTTCATTCTCAGTATTTTTTCTTTCAATTTCCCTCCCTGCGTTCTATAACTGGTATTATTGCGTTGCCTGGAGTGAAAAGATTAAAAAATAATTAGAAGCGATCAATTTGAATGAAGTTAAAACTAAACACTCCTGATGCTATCTAGCAAAGCACACAGAACGATATTTGAGGTTACTGAATATTTATTCTATATTTAATCTACATTAGATTTTATGTAAATTCCTTTATTGTGCTATATTTTTGTCACTTCGTTATAATTCCAATGTTTTTGGCTTTTCACTAAAAAACAGAATGTTACAAAAACCGTCAGATCTTGCCAAATTACTAATCCTTTGAAAATATTCTATGATAGAATTTACATAGGCGTTGCAAATAAGCGACTGCTTCTTAGTTTTTTAATCTTATTTTTCTGTCTGTTGATATGAGAAGAGATGTTTTTTTATTTAATTCCCATAATAAAATGCCTTTTGGAATATTTTGTAAATTTATATTTGCGAAATAGAAACATGTCAAATAAGATGAATGTAGTCAATGAGAATGATGTAAATGGAAAAGGGAATTTCATTTAAAACAAATTTCTGCGACACCGTGGAGACAGACGAAGAAAAAAAGAAAGATCTTTCAGAAAATGGTTGATTCGCTTTCAGGCTGCTAATAGTTTCCACGACATTCTTTTCATTAGAGTTCAATAATATATTATGATGTATCAAATGTATTTGCATTTTTTGACAGAAATTAACTCCCAACTTTCATTTACGCATTTAAAATTTATAGATCATTTCTTTTTTCCAATAATGTTCAGCTTGTACAAGGTCCAAGAGCCACTCAAGGTAAAGGGTTAAAGACTAAGATTCACAGTCTATGATGATAGGGTTAACACTAGACTTAAAATTTTGGTGAAAGCAGTGATTCGTGAGAAGAAGCTTCTCGAGTGGAGCTTCTCGAGTGGAGCTTCTCGAGTGGAGCTCCCCTCTTACCAATGGAATACGAAAGGAACGAGGGTGGGTTCGTTACAGTGGGCGTGGCAGTACGAGTCTTAGTCGTGACGGTTATAACTGGTGAAACTAAGGAATGTACTTCGTTTGAAAACTTTCTGTGGAAAATATCAATGGAGCAGCGAGAGGCTGGTAAATTCTCGTTTGTGGCAAAAGGCTTGTAGGGTAGAAAATTATTAAAAGTATTAATTTATATTAGAATGTATTAAATGTATTTTAGTTATTTTACAAATCTTTACTCCAAATCTTATTTCTTATATACTAAATACTATCCATCACTACACCATTATCATTATTGCATGTTATGTTTCCTGCTTTGTATCCTAGACAGTTGGGTCCAAATTAGGGTCCTTATACGGGATGTTCCTAGTGAGACGATCTTCTGGGTAGCTTGTATGTTGATGTTACCTGGGATACTGTTAATAAAATTGTCCATTACTTTTCTCACGATCCCCAGAGCTCCGAAGAATATTGGTACAGTCTCAATCTTCATTCCTCACATCCTGTTAATCTCGATCTCTAGGTCTTTTTATTTGGACAATTTCTCGACAATTTTCATGTCAATAAGTATACACTTCCTGAATTTCTTGTCTTTTATGATAATATCACGTCTGTTGGCTTTTATTTCTCTGTCAGTTTGAATTGGCATGTCCCAGAGGATAGTTACAATGTTTGTTTGTTTTTTTTGTTTTTTTTAGTAACTGTATTTGTATTTATCTATTGTTAGTTCCGGACAACCTGAGATAATATAAGTTTCATCATATTGTCTGCAGATCCTGCATTTCTTATGTGACAATGATAGGATCTGGCTGCAAGGCTTTGGTTCTGAATTGCAATAATTAGGTCTTCTCTCTCAGCTTTCAACCAAGTGCTCCTCAACCGCTGATGTGTTTTTTGTTCGTCCACATCTGCTTCTTTCGTTCTTTTTTAGTATTTTCTATGCAAAGCCTTTTTCTCCCATTTTCTTTTGTAATTCCATTTGGTCAAGTTGCTTTACTTTCTGCTTTACTCGTTTCGCGTAGGTGCTATTCGCTTCGTCTTTTTGTTGGTAGGGTTTCAGATATATTAAGCTGTTTCTTGAAGAGTGCAGCTTCTTCATTGATGGAGTGGATTTGGTGTTTTACTATTTGTCGGAGAGGGTCATTCATTGCTTTTTGTGAGGCATTCTTCCAATCCGATTGTTGTACTTTATAGAGTTAATTCAAGTTCTTAAATCGCTTAGTACAGCCTATCAACATCTGATTTCGGGTGGTGCATCCTCACTGGGGTAAGCATTTTTCTTATCTTGGCGTCCAATCTTTTAATGTCATTCAACTTCCATTTAATAATGTTGAAGGTTTATGTTACTACGGGTATATCTAAGATGTTGATCGTCTACATTTTATTGGCCCCATTAAGTTCGTTTCTAGTATCAAATGCACTCTCCTATAATATTCTTTTCGGGTCTATTTCTTCATAGTTAAATGTCGTATTTCGCCTCCTTCATTAATTCTTAAGTACTTGTATGTACCATTTTGGTTTCTTCCTTAATCTTGTTGCTGATATCAAAATCTAAATCTGTAGTTTTTATTATCATTGCTTTATTTTCTTTGGTTTCTTTACGGGTCCCGACCAGAGGCCTAAGCTCAGAAATGGCACATGAAATTTTTCACTGAACAGCTTTACAAAAAATGCATATATTTGGCATAGAAAAAGCAGTTAGTAATTTGTGGGCAGTACTTTTGTGTACAATGTTTTGATTTTCTTTAAGGAATGTGCTACTAGGGTGTTCTTTAATGAGTCTATTGGAATTTTTTCCAATCAATCCGAGGGCTCCAACTACAACTGGAATTGTTAAGGTTATGGTCCAAGGTTAGGACCATGAAAGAACAACACGGAACACAAGAGTTGAAATAACAAAGAACATATTACACGAAAAATAATACAAGAAGTGGAAGGTGTTAGTATGACTGTCAGACTGGTTTAGAGTGAACTACTATCAGCTTGACTCGATTCAATACCGTCCGTCTCTCTTGAGAGGCGTAGTATCTATATATCGTTAGGAAGAGTTCATTCTGTTCTTCTAGGTAGGGACTATGACAGTTAATATCTTCATGTGACACTTTTTTGTGATTTCGATTTCAAGGTCCTTGTATTTTGATAGCTTTTTGAAGCTCTTCACAGATACATTGTAATCTGAAGTGAATGTCATGTCAATAAGGAGGCACATTTTGTCTTTGCGGTCTCTAATCACGATGTCAGGGCGAATAGCTTTGATTATTCTGTCTGTGTGTATTGTAAAGTCCCATAAAATTGTTACAGGTCTCATCTCCGTAACAGGGTCTGGGTGGTGTTCATACCAATTTCTTGTAGTTTTATTTTCCGTAAGTATTGTAAATGTTCCAGTACAGATATTGGCCCATTCTGTAGTGCCGTGTTTTAGATTCAGTGGGTGCCAATACCGTGCAACCTGATACAATATTGACAATTGTTTCTGGATATTTATCAGAATCTGCATTTTGGACCAACACAATTTTTTCAGTATCTGTGCTTGGTAATTTCTAGCTAGAAAGCATTGGTCTTGTGCAGCAAGAATAACACTTTCGGT